CGGTGAACCCTCGAAACGGTTTACACGACCTCGGCCTTTCATAGCTACCTTAGGTGCAACAACTTCCGCTCGTTCCCACCGCCATCAATCTAGATTTTTTTCGCGGTTGTGGCTCGCGACAGCTTCGCATCGCAGCTGCGACGGCATCCACAAAGGAAGGCGACCAAGTGGTCACGCCGGCTGCCTCCTGAGCTCTTCCAGGTCGGCAATTTGGTGAAAGCAGGCCCAGGCTGGAGGCCCAAGCAGGCCCAAGCTGGTGAAAGCAGGCCCAAGCTGGCCAGCTTCCAAAGCCAGAGCAGCTGCAAGTTGTCGCTGCTCTTCATGCCTCAAAGGCGTCCAGACACAGAGCTTCAACCAATACAACTACAAAAAAAACACTAAAATTTGCACGACACACTTCCCAAACATTCCCAAACTGCCCGCGTAAATAGCTCTAACCCGATGGTCTTGGCCGCGCTGCGTCAAGCTCTTTCTTAGCTTCAGTAAGGGAAGGGATCCTCAAGCGTGGAACGCACCCAGCCATAGCATTCTGCGCAATCAGTCGAAGGGAGTGGGGGTTTGGTCCTGCCGCAGCAGTTCTGCCCATCGAAGCCTGGAAAACCCGGAATCGAACCTGCAGCGCCAAAGAGCAAGCGCCAAAGCCGCGCACGTTGATCGAGCTCTCTTCGCCAACGCGCTCTGGAGTGTGCTCACCTGGGGGGGCACTGGCTCGAGAGGACGGCTTCACAAATGTCCTCTGAACAGTCGAAGGCCCCCCAAACTAACTGCCAGGTGTTTCGGAGGTAGATGTTTGGGGAAACATCAAAAATCTCTCGTGAAGTCGCAGTAGTACACCGAACCAGGTTGGAGCTCCAGCATTTGATCCGGCTTGTCTTCGATCTGGTGAATTGCTACCTTGCCGGCCCGCAAGGCCAGAAGAAAAAATGGTGTTTTCAGCGTGTCTCCCCGGCCGCCCAAGACAATTGGCGCAACATGGCGCAACACAATATGAAACTGACTCCACATGTTTGTAAATCTCCAGGGTGGCTTGGATTCTTGAATCGTTCTGTTGGATAATGCCTGGCAAAGCCGAGTTGCACGCCGTTTTCCGGACAGAGTCATGCTGAGGTGAAGCAGGGAACCCCCGCCGTCAAAGTGCTTGGGTTCGGGCAAACTGCCGCGCCTGAACTGCAAAGTGACCACCGAAGATGCCCAAGTCATCACATCTGACTCTAAGAAAATCTGCGCATTGGCGCTCTTCTCCTGCTTTTTACTAATCTGCTTCCTCAAATTGAACTGCAATAGTTTCAGCTGCTGTTGGTTGACGTTCTTCCAAGCGCGCAGCCAGGCTTGCACATGCTTGAGAGGTAGCACCCCGGCGCAACGATCGCCATTGAACGTAGTCAGCTTCGGCTCGGTTTGCTCAACTGCGAAAAGAAGCTCGATGTTGTCTTTGCCTTCTTTTCTGTAAAACATTTTGAAATCATCAAGGCTGAAGTTCTGCAAATCTTCCCTCAGCCAGCTCAAAGTCTCTTGGTCCACCGAAGTGCTTGCCAAAACGGTTTTGCCCCGGGCACCCACGAGAGGCCAGAGTTCCACCCGCTTGTCCTCCTCCTCCTCAACTTCAACCGGGAAAACTGTGCAGGAACCAACGCCTCTGAGTTTGTTCTTCGCGTATGAATCCGCCGTGTTGAACGCAACCTCGCAAGGCCACTCAAGGAAAATGACTGGCTTTGTCTGACCACCGACTGTCTTCAAAGAGGCCTTGGCCTTGCCTTTGCTCAAAGCCGACAACGCTGGCGAAATCTCGCAGTCCACAGTGACTCGGAAAGAGCGGCCAACAAAGTCCCGCTTCCTCTTCAGGAAGCAGGCTCAGGCTCAATCAAAGGTTGCGCCGAAGAAGCCGCAGCCAAAGACTCCGGTTCGCTTCCGCCTGAAGCCACCAAAACGCCCATGGCAGACATCCGAGACGAAGGGGCCAGTTCAAGCATCCCTGAGAGGATGGTGGAAAGCTCAGCAGGGCCTCAAGCGGCTCACAAAGAGAAGTGAAAGCAGAATAATACACGCCAAGATCAGCCGAATCCGAGACAAGCCAGGATCAAGACGTTCGGTTAGGGCTCGGAGTTGGAGGCTAATAAAACGGATCCTAAAAAACAAGTGCTCTGTACTCTGATACCCCTCATCCATCAATGTCAAGGTCAAGGTGCAGTCTCTGAGATTCCTTTGCGTGGCCTCGCGCATGACAGAGGGCTCCATGGCCAGAAAGGGAAGCTTGCGCCGCCAAGCGAAGACGCAGTTGCAGCCCAACGCCCAAACATCAATCTTGCTCGTTACGCTCCAGCGAGACCCCTCCACAATCTCGTACGCCCGAACAGACCTTAGCGGTCTCTCCATTTCGATAACCTTGGAAACCCCAACCAAAAAATGCTCCTTATTTTTCGTTAAGCCCTCTCATTCTCGTACTCAAAAGATTGAAAACAATTTGGAACCAGGGATTCCCATTCAAGCACCGCCACCAGCCATCAGCCATCTAACAGCGCAGCCAAGACTCGGAGTCGTCAGCGACCTTGCATCGTCCAAAGTCTCCGGCAAGCAGCCGGGCGCAACAGCCTTCCCCACATCAATGATCGTCGCCTCGGTCTGTGACCAGGGGGTCACTTGGTGGTTTGGGGCTGGTCCATTTCAAAAGCCTTGACAGGAACCATCTTCATCACCAACCCTGGTTTCTGAAAAAAAGAAAATGTTGGGCAAACCAAGGTGGTCCCAAGTCTGAAAAGAAGTAAAAATGTCAACTCAGGGCTCGCGTGAAAGTCGTGCGCCCAAAGACCGACAACTGTTCGAATGGGTTCAGTGGTTTAATTTCCGAAGCAGGCCATAGGCCACCAAAACTCAGTCCAGTGACTTTTCCCTTGCTCAAGCAAATGTTCTTGAAGCCCAAGTCTGCGTGAATGGTATCCACGGCATGAAGGGCGCGCAGGCCACTTGCCATCTGCCGCGCAAGGTCTTTGACCTTGCTAGCCCGCAGTATGGGCACTGGGGGATGGTGATGGTGTGGTATACTTTGTTAAAGTTTTCTTTTGGTACACAAGCTAATTATGATGGCACTGCAACCCACCCTCCAACCTTCAACAATGCTATTCCCTTGTGTTTTGGCACTCAAAGCGCGCTGTTTACGACAGTTTCCGAGTTTGCGATTTTGGAGAAGAGTTGAGCGCTTGGCGTTTGGAGAAAAGTTTACACGGATGCAAGACTAGGACCCCACAAGGCAGGAAAAAAGAGATGAGGTTGGATAGGTAGGGTGCAAATACTATGATACCGCAAATTGTTCAGGCTGCTCCCAGGCCTCTTCAATCGAAGGCTTCCAGGACCGCGCCTCGATCAAATCGAAGACGCTGAACCCCACGTTCGGCATGACGAGGCCGCCAGCTTCGCAACCCAAACCATGGATCAGAGCTGGGTGCTTGGGCAGCCTTCCCAACAAGTCCAGTTCCTTCACGCAAGCCATCTTTGCTCCGGAAAACCAATGCTTCACGCATCGGCCATCACCCAAATCATATACCTTTCCGAAACGCCCAGACCCTAGCAAAGGCAACCTGGTCGGGTCCTCAGTTTTTTGGCTGAGCCACAGTTGCAAAAGCCATGGCATGTTGGTGCAAAAGAAGAGATGATCTCTCTGTCGCTTGTCTTCTTGTCCAGCTCAGGTTTCCTGTCCCAAGTTCCTCTTTGAGTTCATCTGTCTCATCTCTGTCGCCTCTGTTCTTTTTGTCTCAAGTTCAACTGCTGAGTTCATCGGTCTCAAGTCCTGGAGTATTGCTCTCTGTTCTTTCCATTTCATCTTGGGCAAAATGCCGGCTGTATCAATCGGAACTGGATGAAGCTTCCCAGGTCCCAGGTGACCTACGGATTCCGGTCCACCCCTAAAAGAAACTGGGTCGGGCAGAGCGCCCCTCTCGTTTGTTTTAGGATCCTCATCCTAAAACCATGTTTGCGCAAAAGATCATTTAGGATTCTGATCCTAAAACAAGCCAGAACATTGAGGATGAAGGAGATGCCCACAAGTTTTACCAACTATCCGGGATGTCGGTTCTCTGGTCTTGCTTAGGGTCCGGATCCTATAGAGAACCCCGCTTGCAAATATGTCCTACTTACAAAAGCTGAGGACCCTAAAGGAAAACTAAAGGTGGAATCCCTCACCGAGAAAAACGAGAAGAAAACGAGAAAAAATCCCTCACCGAGAAAACACCCACTCCATCGCTTCCATTGCTTTGGATCTAGCCTCCGTGAACGCCAGCTGCATCGTCTTCGGCAAGTCGATATCTGGCGTGCGGAGATGATCGGCTGCTAACATCCAAGCAGTACCTTCCTCTTCAACGATGCAATCTTCCAGATTCCAGGATGCTTGCAGGATTTTTTTTAGTTGGCTTTTGCTTTTTGGCGCGCAAATGGTAGAATGTTTGAGGGAATTTCTGTAAACACTTTTATATTTTATATATGCCATGGGCCACCCCTCCGTTATATACACACATCACCTGTTAAACACGTTGCCCTTTCAGCCTTCCCGGATCTCCCCGGCCACCGCCAGAAAAACAACCCGCCTTCGATTGCATGAACAAATCATCCTCACCATCCCCAGGGCCATCGTGTCATCGTGGCGCTTCTGTGAGTCTGTGAGTGAAAAAGTTATTGTGTGCTGTGAAATGTCAGGAAACTTGCCAGTCAAAAAGGGGTGTCGATGCTCTCGAAATTGTTTCTTCACAAAACTAATGTAGTCTTTGTGCGCCCGGAGCCTTAAGCCATGGTTCAATGAACCTCCTGGCGGTGAGAAAAGAAAATCATTTTCACGACCCTGTGTATGTATGTATCCCATACAAGGTCCAGAAGACCCAGAAGACCCATCTCATTACTGAGGAAGCATTCCTCATGTACCCTACGCAGCGACTCCTTCGTCCGGTTCCAGCGTTCACCGCCCGGCGGCCACGGGGGAACGCGAGAGTATCGGCAGTCGGGCCGGGCACCCGGACCGCCTCCACTGGGCTCATGCGAAGCTCCTGGGATCGTGAAACACGAACGTGAAGGGACCTCAGGGAGCTCTGGACCACGAGGTTTCCCAAACAAAAATCATGGGTAAGAGGAGCTAAAAAAGGAGCTACTAGTACCACTGACAACCACTAACTACCGCTAACTACCACCTACAGTAGCCTAAGGCACCCGATGCCATTCGGAGCGCGGAGCGGTCGCTCGTCCTCCACGTCGACCAGGTGTCGGACTGGCGCCTCGTCCGCGAGCGGACGGAGGCAACACCTGGCACCGGTGGCGGACCGTCCGCGTTGCGCTAGGAGAGGAGGGATGGGTTCAAGAGGTTACAGGTTAGCAAAGGCATGCACAGAAGAAAAAAACACATATATACGGTTTTCCACTTTTCTTGCATGGTTGGTGGGTCTCAGTGAGTGAGTGTTGATATATCTTTATTACCTGCATAACTCTGTATATGCTTTAGGACCCTTCGGTTGGGGCTCTGTGAAGCGCGCCCCAGAACCGCAACGGGCCACAGAAACAGGCCCAGGAGACGGCTCCAACTCGTGGGAAATCTGCGCTCCCACGTCGCCCTGCGCTCCGACGTCAAGCCGGGACTCTAGGTGGGCCCATCACATCACAGGAAAAAGGCATCTCAAATCATCTCAACATAGCTCAAAATGAGATCGAACTGCAAAGCCCTGCCTTGTTTATCTTGCTTTCAGCTGTCGCCTCATGAGCCATGAGATTCATTTATAGTGACGGACAACCTCTTAGAACGGGTTTTGGCTTTGGGAAAAATGTTCTAAGTGGTTGTCCGTCACTAGAGCTTCCATCTCTCGCAAGCCAACTTCTCTCAGCATTCTGAGCAGCAAGCCATAAACTGGATCATCGTCCCACCTTGAGCAAGACAACCGGACCGTGTTGGCTGCCCGGCAGCCAACTGTGACTTCAAACCCGGCTGTGACAGCATGTGACAGCATGTGACAGCATGTCGGCGGTGCATCACCAGGGAGACGCCAAAATAGCACCGTCCCCTTGAAAGAGCACACCAAAATACCAGGGACTAAACTCACTGCCCATCTCTCAAAGACCGCGACCGGCGCTGATCGTCCCCCCCAGGCCGTCGGACAGTGGTCCTCTGCCAGGGAGAGCTGAATGGCAAGACCCGAATCCTGGCGTCCAAAGTCGCCGGTGGGGGGTTCTTCCTTTGTTCATCCGCGCCAAAAGAAGTCGTAGAAGCTCGTTGATGGGTGGAAGCTGCTTAGCTGTGAGCTGCTTCGGTCATCTTAAGAACCCTTGGGCCCTCGGAAGGATAGCAGGGCTCTTGTTTTCTTTATCCAAAATTCATGATAGGAATTACATTATTGCATTTTTTCTTTAAGAAAATCCAATGGAAAAAATGCAAGAATAAGATAGAAAAGACCATCATCATATTTTTTTATTAAGATATTGCTATTCAAAAATATGCTGATGATAGATAGTTATAATGATGATGAAATTTCCTTTAAAATCCCTTATGAAATTTCATCATAAATAATATCTCTTCTTTATTGGGATTTATTCATTAAGAGAATTTTCTACAGAACAATTGAAAGGACCGGTCCACAGCTATAATCCATTTCTTTTGTATCTTAGCCACGCGTTTTAATAAGAAAGTGATGAAGGAATAAACGCTTGGCCCCATTTATTTTATGTGGATAGCTTTTTAAAATAGCTGGTAATTAAATGAAAAGAAATTGATTATCTATCTCTCATTCACGAATATTTGTCATACAAAGAATTACTATAATTGAAAAATGTTCGTTCTTATTCTTATGTCATTCAATGGTGAAAATCTGATGTTCATCTGTGGCATCAGTCAATTGATGCGGATGAACAGGCTAGTCACTATATAGTTTAATTGTGTTTTAAGGGATTTCTTTCTGTCCCTGTTCTTTTTATTAGTTTGTGGACTCACCTTCAAAAGCCATTAAAATTAGTGATGATGGTGTTTTTTCTTTTTCTCCTAGGGGGCCTCTAAAGATGACTCTTACAAAAGCAAGAGCACATCGAAACCGAATGCAGATGTTTGATGATGCATGTTGTGTGTGTGTGTTTTTGTATTTTCTTGTGCATCGATGACCTGCTGTATGTAACGGTGCCATGCTGGTCACCTGCTTGCCGAAGAAAAAACACGTGGTCATGCTGCTGTACTGTGCTCAAGGGTACCACGTGGAAGAGGGGGCAATGCGATGCGTGTAGAATAATTGAGACACTCATCATCACTGTAGAATCTACCAGTAGCTGTCAGGTCAAACTAGCCTAGACTCAGCCACGAAGGACTCCATGATGTTCTGTGATTTGCCATGGTTTCTGGCAGTCCTTGGCCACCAAAGTCGCCAATGGCTTCTCCTGCAAGGGCAACAAGCTGGGCCTGATCCTTGTCGATGATGTGACCTGCATCGAAAATGAAAAAACAGCCGCTCAGGTGGTGTGGCTGAGTCAACGGACTGCTGAGTTATACAGATGAGTCCTCAGGACACTTAAAACCACACAAAGGGTAGCTTAACTTCGGCACCCCGACATATATAAAGGCTTTCCAAAAGACCGGGCGTTTCTCCGAGAGCAACGGTTTCATGTGATTTGTGAGTAGAGGAAAAGTGTCCCTTCCACAAACCATGTTTCACAGACCATGCTCGTAAGTTGCCGCGCAACGCGTTCACGGGCGATTCCGCGATTTTCAGCATCTGTTCTGCCCCCCCTACAATGACACCCTGAGGCCCAGTCCAAACCGCAGGTATGGCGAAGCCTCCTCAGTGGTCACTGATGCTCCAGTTCGTCTCAGGCGGTGTCTTTTGTCCTAGCGACTCGCTACTCCTGGTAGACCTGGGGGTAGACGCAACCATCACCCGGTGCGGTGGATCCATAGTTTATCAGACTCTCATTCTGGAGATTCAGAGGGTTCTCAGGGTGCCCCTCCGAGGCGAGGAACACCAGAATCCACGTCGTCAGCTTCGGGAGAAGGATCCGAAGGCCTCGGGTTGGCGGTCGGCGGTGCTTCCACCGGTCAAAGAAGAGTCATTGGAGTGCATTTGTGTGTGTGTCCAACTGAGTCTGCTACCAGACCCCTTGGCCAATCTTGCATCCTACCAGCAAACTGCTGACTCTCTCTTCAGAATCAAGTGCTGCAACAATCAACAAAAAACAGCAACACATGTGTTTTGCGCGTAAAAAGACAACGTGTTTGGACATGTCAAAAAGAGCTCCTTTTGCCGCGCCGCGTGTAGCGAGGACCGTTCACACGCCGTCAGTGTCCACCACTCTTCGCCCGGAGCCTCCCTCCTGCGTCGCACCCGTCCGCACCGGTTCGCCGTCGCCGTCCACCGACCGGGGCGAACTCGCCTCCACTCGGCCGAAACGCCATCCATGGGCCAAGAAGCGATGATCGGATGAAGCCTCAAGAACAGTTCAGGCGAATGCTGGGGCGCGAGAAGACTGCACAGCATGTCAGGGCCGCTTGGCGCGCTTAGTGCCAAACCAGAAGGGGTACCAATCCCTTGGCAGGAAGTGCACGTGTTGACGCTGGGGTGCACCAAAACTTGTAAGGATGGATGGCAGCATCTTAGTTGGCTCTAAGCCCATATGTGAGCAAAATATAGGGAATACTGAACCAATGATTGCCAATGAGATTGAAAGGGAAGAGGTGAATCAAACAGCGGCTCGGTTTTGACAGAGCCCATGTTGACACAATGTGAAAAAACTGCTGCTGGATCAAGTTGACCTAAATACAGGCTAACAACATAAGAGGCGCTCAATGAACCTGGGCCTTATGTCGACCTGTTCATCAACTACCATGTGTCATTTTGTGATGTGTTGTTTTGTTTCTGAAAGGCACACCATTTCCAAGGCGCATGAATGGTCTCTTGACCCTCTTTTCTGAACCCTCAAGTTCCGGACAGGTCTCCATCTACGTGTACCTCCTGGAGTTGTTGCGGCATTCTCGGATCGTCTTGGTATGTGTTCCAGAAGTAGCTTTGGACCTCGCATCGTCCCATGGAATTCCATGCTATTCCGATCTATTTCCTTTGGATCCTGCAGCGCATTTACCACCCTGGACTTCGCGTTCCTAGTACTAGTGCTAGTCATCTATAGTGAGTTGAGGGTAGATCACAATCCCCAAGTTCGGTGGTTATATGGACCCCATCTAAAGGACATCTCGGGGGAAACGTGCCATCTTTATACTGGACTCTGAAGCCATTGTATTGATTTCTACTTCCCCATAGTACTGATTTCTACGTCGCCATCGACCATCCGCGACGCAGGTTCCGCGACCGAGTTCTCCTCGAGCATTCCAGGTGCGAGCGCCCACATGGGCGGAACTCCTTGCCTTTGGCGACAGCTGAACTCGTCCGGAAAGAAATTCAAACCAACGAGCAAAACAACACACAAAAACACAGGTGGGAAAGGGTCAAAGATGGCGGCATGAGCAAGTACTAGACTTGATGGACCTAAAAAGTGGTGTAAAGGCACTAAAATCTACATAAATCCCACGCTGCTCTGCTTAGCACGTTGCTCTGATCCAGTGAGAGGCTGCTGGAGCTCCTCAAAGCGACCATGCATGTTCTCCGCCTCTCTCCATGTCACACCGACTGTTTGATCACGTTTGAGTGGAAACGCTGTTAACGAACAGAGCCACCGATCGGTCACACCGCTTCGGCCGGCCCCGTCTGGCCCAATGGCCACGCCGCGATCGGCCATCCGAGCCTGCAACTGTTCCTGCCACTCGTGGTCAATGCGCCACCGTCGAGAAGACACACGAACGGTGTAACCTTTCCGCGCCACCGGCGAGTTCAAGAAGAGGTTGTGATGCACAAGGTTGTTCGGCAAGCAAAACATCTCTCGACCTGTGGAAAAGGGCACTCTTGAGATTCTTCAGTTTGATCCTCCCCTACACAACTGCGTGGCTGGCAGGTCTGGACAATCAAAAAAGGGTGAACTGGTGAAGAATCACTTCCAGGGCCAGAAGAAAAAATCCGGAACGTTGGGTATGAAACTCGGATAGGGAGACGGCCAATGGGTTTTGGCAACTTTACTCTATGTGTGTTCTTCCAGAGAGGGTTCGTGATTCTGGCACACACCCGTTTTTCCTTGGTGTTCGGTGAATCCATCACAAAATTTGAGCTTCGTGCTGTTGCCAGGACGAAGGGCTCGCAAGGGACACGTGAATGTCTGGGCCTCACAACATGATCAACTGTCGGGCAGCCATTGGAGGTCATACGGACAATCTTCTACATCTGCAGCCTGGATTTCTGGACGCAAACAACTACCATGGTGGCCATCTACATTGCTCGCTTGTTTACACAACATCAAAAGAGTTTGAAAGAGAATGTGAATGCACCAAACCGGAAAAATAACATAAACATATTGAAAGGAATCATGCCGAAATGGCGGCCTGGAAGCTTGGTCGTTCCGTCACCAAGACAGTCTGCATCGCTCCTTGCACCTCTCAGTGTCGGTAGCTCGAGGTTCTGTAAACTCCTGGGGTTTGGCTCTAGTTCGTGCGGTTAAGCTTTGTTCCTTGTGGTTTGGTTGACTTGGCATGGCTTGAAAAGGCTGGAGGGTCCGGGGGAGGGCGTAGCGCCTCCCCACAAAAGCAAACCTAGTGCCAAACCACCAAAAAACTGCAAAAGGCTAATGATATGCCAACAAAACACGTAATAAAAAGTGGCCAAGAAATCCAACAAAATCTACAAAAACCAAAAGCAACCATCAAAAACAAAACCAACCCAGCGTCAGACAAGCTATCAAAAACCAAAAAAAACAGAAAATCGCAGAAACCACTGATGGCAAAAGCCACAGAAACAACCAAAAACCCAAAGCTACAGAAGCCACGCAAGCCAAAAGCAACAGCCACAGAAACCATAAAAGCCACCGAAACCAAACGACAAAAGCGACAGAAACCACAAACGCCAAGTCACAGAAGCAATTGAAAAAAATGCCCTCCATAGCTTGATGACACTGATGACACAATCAAAATGTGTTTTTGGGGGATGGAAAAAAATGAACATTTTCCAGTGGCACCAGTGGTTAGAATTTCGTCCGATTCTGACCATTTCTGACAGATCTTGGGTATATGCTATGATACATCACTGATTACAAGTAATTCAAAGTTCTAAGCCATGCTTAAATCGACTCTTCTGTTCTGACTTGTGTCCCAAAATGACCGGTGCAGAAGACCACAAGCAACTGCTTCGATTCGAGCAGCCTGTCCAACCTCGATCCGAATCTGCGCCTGCACGAGGATGTCTCAAGCACATGACTGATGACGAATGTGAACGGCTAATGAAAAAGAATTATGAAAGAATCGAATTATATGTATATGTATACAGGTGTGTACTAAAATAGGAAGACCTCCCAAAGACCGCCTGGAAGAAGGAACAAGCCCAGTGGCTGGTTGCTTCTCTTTAATATATTCACCCATAGGGGTGACTTGGCTGTGGATCATGGCACCCGGAGCCCGGTTCACCCTGGTAGGTTGACCTCCTTAGTCCTCAGTAGTCTGTTCTGTTCATTTTTGCTGGTGAACTGGGGGGCCCCAGCTTTGATCCCCAGCCACTTAATCCGCCGACCCCTGCCTAGCTGGGGGGCTGACACACTGCAGGGTGGAAGCGGTTGCCTGTGGACTCCTGGGACCTGCCACTGCTGGCTTGACACTTCTTAGCCGCAATCTTCAGCATTCCTCTTCGGAACAAAAATGATCCGCACGATCAGGGCCGTTGGGATGTCACACTGCCAAAAAAATCATATCGTCTTCTTGCGTGCGCTTATACAAGCTGAACAGACGGGGTGATTGCGCTTCAGGCGCGCGCCGGCCTCACTGCCTCACAACATACACACCAGCATGCATGACCTCACACACCTGCTGAGCCCTCGATTGCATCCGCTGCCACTGCAGACTTTCTCTCGCGCCGCCAGAAACCCCCTCCCACTTCAGTCAGCCACCTCTTTGCTTCTGCGGTCATTACCACAGCAAGGGCCGCCCAACTCCGGCGCCATGAGCTTCACGCCTTGCCACACCTCCTCTGTCCCCTCCGCCAACACGCGGACTTGCGCCCTTGAGACATCGGAATCCCTGCTTGGATGCGCAGCTTTGGCTAACGGCTCGCTTTGCCCCTCGCACTCTCCTCCCACCACCCCTTCACTAAACCACAAATACCCCCTGACATATCGAAAAGCTGCATTCCGTGTTGGAAGCCACTGCGGGGTCTTCAAAGCCATCCGCAAGGATGCCATGCCGTCGTCAGGCCCGGGACTCGCTCTTGAACCGAACTTCTGGCAGCTTGGTCAGCCTATGATTCAAAATGATTCCTTTCAGCGTTCGATCCCATCTCCCTTCGGTCAAAAGAACATCTGCCAAGCACGCTAACATACGCTAACTCTTTGAGGACTCTTCCACCCGGGCTCATCCTCGCAGCGAAGCCCCACGTGGCCTTGCTTCTCACTGTCCAAGAGTCTTGCTTGCTCCAAAGAGGGGGTCGGTGGCACCCGGGCGTTGGCCCATTCTATCACAGCATTTAACAGCCAGCATTGTTCATGATAGATGCAGCAGCGGCGGCGCCTTTACATGTCCCACGCACGCAGGGCTGGCCTCAGCGATCAACGGTCAACGGTCCGTCCCTTTATAAAGGGAAGAACGAGAACACCATAGAACTAGAACGCCCGGGCTACGTCAATGGGCCCGGATGGGAACACGATGTGCTGCCCACGCAACTGCCTCAAGATCCCAATTAGGTTCTCTTCATCTCGCCTTTCAAGCAGTAGATTCAGTAGATAGGATGTTCGACGAATGGGGGCCATATGGAACGGGTCACACATCGGGATTCTCAAAGAGGTTTGCTGCCAACATGACCTGGATTTAGAGGATGTTTTTCTGCTCCTTTGAGGCTCAGGCCAGCGACAGAATGGCCTTGGTAAAACCACAGGAGGAGATACCTCGAGCTCGAGCCACACGCTGATAGGATTGGTCTTCTAGTTAGCTGCTTTGGGCTGCTTTTGCAGTGTCAGAGACACATGAAGTTCTCCTACAAAGAACAGGACATCTGATAACCATTAAGCTGGTGCCTTTGTGAGAGGTCGCGTCTTCCCTCTTCCACTGAAAAGCTTGCTAAATCATTACGGGACAACGACCAATGCCATTGGATCTTGCTCAAAAACACGCCTAGCAGTTGCAGGCAGAATCCTGCTATCAACGGTGATGCTTTGTCGAGACCTGAGTATCCTGAAGAAATAGCTCTAAGTGACAGAAGCAGGTTCGACCATATTCATGCCATAGTCTGTCATATTTGCAACTTGTAGGGAGAAACAGGAAAAGAATTGGAAGTTCTCCAGACCTAGCAATTGAGATTATACAGAATTATGGTAGACCTACCAGCAGTGCATGATGGCCATTTGGACCCAACCCAACAATAACGTGAAGAAAATCGTAAGTAGTCGTATCCTCCCAAGGATGAGGCAAAAGAATGGCTCATCCACAAGGGACGCACGCGCTGCAGGCTGGGGTGAGTACTCAGCTTTGGTTGCCCCTGGAAGAAGCAGCAGTTGGTTTGGAAGTCGGGGGTATATAAAAGCGTGATTGCAAGACGCCCGCATCTAGAAGAGCTTGAGAGGCACGGAATTGGATGAATTGAGAGGCACGGTAAGGAATGGTTCTGCGGTGCTTTCACTCAGGGAGCCCCAGTAGCGCCTCAGCTACCTTTCGTGAAGTGTTCAGACCTATCAGACCTGGGTTTGACATCTCCAGGCACCAGAGATGTATTTGATTCATCAACAGTTTAACATGACACTCCAAGATATAGGGCACTTGATTTGGGCTGGTTGTCTTTGACCTACATGACTCAATCTGACTCGATCTCCCTTTGTTGATTGCCCAGTTCCCTCCGCTCCTGCCAGGGAGCCCAGTTCGGCGAACCAGAGGCGAAGTCACTCCAAGCGCTCCAACTGGAGCCCTTGCAGCAAAGTGACCCCATCTTGAAACCAGGTTTGAGGATGTTTGGGAGGGAAAACACCCGTTCGCACGTTTTGCAGCTTTTGAAATAGCTTAGCAGAAACCTTTGCGAGAAACGATCGAGTCACGCACCCAGAGTTTGCGTCTTCCTTAATTATATAGTTATATATATATATAGTTGCCCCGGGCTACCCTGTCAAAGACTTTGACCAGGCTGATGAATACTTTTAACTCTCCGATCTAGTAGTTCCAGCGGCAACATGCTGCATTTTGAACATCCAAATGCATAGGTTCTCAGTTCTGAGGCTCTGTCCAAGAGGTAACCTCGGTTGAAGCTGGAAGCTCTCGTAACCCCCGATTCTGACAACATGTAACACCAGAGTAGGCTTTAACTACTACAAATAGCCACGAGCCACGGGACATCAATAAACATCCTCAAGCCAACTGCCAGCCACGCCACGGACGGAGAAGATGACGGAAGTACACTCCCAATCCTGGCACTGAAGTTTGGGCAAGACCTTCCAGTAGCGTCAAGTGAAATGGTCTGCATGAAGACCTTCCAGTGTCCATTGTCACTCCCCTCCACGCCGCGCCCTGACCTCTCACCTCGTGAAACGATTCGCACCGAGGATTCGGGTCTGGGCATCGGCCGATGTCTCCGAAGTGGAAAAGCAAAGAGAAAGAACACCGTGCAACGGAAGGACGGGTCTTCGGTCTCTCAGAAGAAACTAATGGTCTATATACTATGGTCTACTTAGTCTACTGAGTCTACTTTCAACTTCTTTCCTTTCCTTTCCATTCCTCTCCTTTCCTTTAAACATGTCCCTCATTCCTTTCACTTCATTCGATGTACTGCACGTGGAACCGGAACCTCGTCCCTCGCACCGGTCGCGTTCGGGAAACCCGCCGGTCGGACGCCCCGCAGGGCGGGCGAGCGCACGCGTGGGGTCCCGCGCTCCTGCCATCGACCCGGTTCAACCCGCAGACTCCAGAGGGGCTTGTGTTGAAGGAAAAATGTAAGATCAATGCAGAAAGAAACGGTCTCCCAGCTACCGAGCGATTTGGTATGGATATGTATGGATGTAATTATCATGCTTGTCCACCCACACGTGGATGAGATGTTGACATCGAGATAAGGAGGGATATCATGATGTCCAGTCACCCAGTTCTTTCGAGAAAAGAACATGCTAAGCAGGCTAAGCAAGTGCAAAAATCATGACATGCTTTTTGGGTGCTAAGCAGTGCTAAGCAAGTGTTTGGGTGCTAAGTGCGAAGTAAGTGGAAATCAGCCAGAAAACATAAGACCAAAGAGATTCCACCCCTTCCAAGACGGCCCAATTCCTATACCACTTGCGTCAAACGTTTCGGCCGGTTAAGAAGCACGGTTCGGTCAGATCCACCAATTCCAGTCCTTCAGAAGAGTCTCAAAGGAGTCAACGCAGCAGTCCTCGAGATGTCCATTGACCATATGTGAACATAAAGCATCCAGTTGGTCATAGTAACAATAAAGCTACTAGGGGCTCCTGGCCTTACTACTAGGAGCAAAGACGCTACTAGGGGCTCCTGGCATTGCTACTAGGAGCATTTTTACTACTATAGTAACAAGAAGCTACTAGTCATTGAATCCACGAGTTGTGCTTTTGTCCCGGTTGCCGCCCGGCCAATGAGGGCCAATGAGGGTGGCCAACTGGTGGCCATCGTTTGTATCATATGTGGTTGTTCCAAAAATATCATAAACGGTGGCAAGTGTTCCAACTCCAAAAGTGGGAAGAAGACCATGGTGGACTCAAGCTTTTGATCCCGACTGTTTTTAACAGTACGAGTGCCAATTCGATCTTCAGTTCGTAAATGTTGGTATGCGCTTGAGTCCAAGGTTGAGCGCCATGGACATCGTGTCGTAACGGACATCGTTTTCTGTGGCATCCAAGCCCGCTCCTCTTGACCGTGCCCAAACGTGGCATCCCGCCAGCGGTACTGCCAATGCAGAGGAACGTCGTCCGGGACAGAAACGTCCCGTGGCAAAGCCTGAGCCATTGGGCAACAGGGACCGGAAAAGTCTCGTGCATTGAAAAGGAATCTCTTCACAGCATTTATATATATATATATCTGTGTGTGTGTATGTTAGAGATGTTGTCACATCATCATATATCATCTACATCCATCTTCCCTTGTGCTTCCCCTCCACACGACTATGGACTCCGGCGAAGGAGAGAAACACCACCAGGGAGGCCCCGTCCTCTTCGGAGACCTTTTGGAGCGAAGCTTGGGAAGAGCATGGAACATTTGATAGACCAAAGACACCTTCCAAGGTCAGCAATCTTCAAAAGCTCTGAAGAGCTCAAAAAGCCAGTGTTCCTTGTGACATACATCCTGCACGCATAAAACATTACATCCTCAATTCCCTCTGGTGCCTCCAGCGAAACGCCCAGTGGGTTCGGCGCTGGCAAGTGCACCTTCAACGCAGAGTGCAGGCCGCGGCGAGCCAATAGACACCCAGTGACCCCACAGTGCTCAGTGGGGAACCATGTTTTGTTTCGCTATATCAAACCCATTGGAGGGCTTATCTATTCGAACCCACACACAGAGAAAAAAAGCAGAGATATGCAGAGTCTGGTCATGAGTCATGAGTCAGTCAGAACCTGATGATGGAAGCTCCAAAGGTGGGGCGTCTCCGCCCAATTGACCCACCCTGCGAGTCGAGCCCCACCGGAAATGGGTCGCAGGACCGCCAAAGCCACTCCATCTCCTGCCAACCGCTTGTTTTTTGACAAGAAAGTGCCTTCGACACATGTTTGGTTGACGAAAGTCTTGTTCCACAGAAGTCCTGGCGCGACTTGCCGCGAATTCAGAAGTCCTTGCGCGTTTGTTTGTTTTCCATATAACCTACGCTCACGGTGAAACCTTGTTTTATGGTATGGCTTTGTGCGTTTCACAACAAAATACACTAGCGCATACTATTGGGCACCTCAACTAGAGCTGCCGTCGGCACTGCTAGATGAGCTGCTCTCCGTACTGCTGCTTTGTTACATTTGCTGCATTTGCGGCGTTGCTGGATTTGCTTTGCTTTGATACGCCGCTCATACGTTGCCAAGGTGTGAAAGACATGAAGCGCTGCGCGCATTTCGTTCTCTTGTATAGTTATCTACATCTCTCCTTTTGGCACCTGCACCTTTCTTGTCCAAGGCCTCCCTCTCGAGACTGCTGTCGCGAGACATTCCACAAACATGGTAGTATGCATCTCAGACAAAGCAAAATCACTAGGAATAGTGCGACATGCCAACCGTTCGAAGTTCTGACTAAACTAATTGGCCCTGGATCGGTGTCCTTATACTGTGCTTTAGTTGCTTACGCTAGCCCTATGAAACTGCACATCACAGAATGAAAATGCGGTCCAAGCAAATGGCTTCTAGCAATCAAAAGCAGATTCAAAAAGCACTAGCGCGCCACAAGCGCCACGCTAGCGCCTAATTTGCCCTTAAAATCTACTATCAAAAAACTAGTGTTGCCATTTTGTATAAACTCCTTAGCACCGACTTTTGGCATCCAAACATATGGGGAAAACCTGGAGCCCTTGACAATCTTTTTTGATTGTCCTTTCCTCTTTGCCTTCACGTCTTCTTGCTCCAGCGTGGGCGAGAAGGTCAGCTACCAGTAGCGTCATCTTGACTCTGGCTGATATCGCGGCATAAAACCTGGAGCCCTGGTCCACCATAATGTAGCTTGACCTCCCAGGTAGGTCAACCATGGTCAACCCAAGGTATCCTGACTTTGACCCACAGCCACACTTCCGTTGAGGAAGTGGCGAACCCTCCGAAAACACGCGGACCCGTGCGTGGATGGACTCGACAGTCACCGTGGAAGTTGCGCTGAGTCTTGTCAGCTCGGTGGTGGAGTCCTTCTTCGCAGCTCGGCACCAATCGTTCCAGGCCGCAATGTTGTCGGGAAACTTTTTCCTTAGTGAATTAGACCAATCATGGTGGCTGACTTAGGCACAAAGAACCTAGTTTGTTCCACGCTGCAAACATTGAAAGGGAACATTCAACAGCAACGAGAGTTGTTGGCGAAAGAAGATACTTGAACTAATTACCAATCGTATTTCGCTTTCAGCGCCAACATGCACCAACTCAGGAAGGGGCTGAAACATTCGCAGCTGAATCAGCCCTGCATATGGCGCCGCAACATCAACAGACGAATCTGCCCGTTCACATGCCGTTCATCTGCACATGTCAACGTCTTGCCCGACGCAGCGGAAAGAAGAATCGTACTATCCGACTCATTCACATGGCAGGGGATGGCACCACCTGTTTGGCAAATAAAACAGGATCTTCCAGGAGGGCACGCATGGCCAACGCATGCCAACACTCTCCGATATCTCAGGGAGCGTGGGGCCCGCCACCTTTTTCAGCCCACCGCCTGTTTCGGTGTCGACTTCCAGGCTTGATGCGTTTAGGTGGGGGGGGGGGGGCTTCACCGCTTTTCCCAGTCTTCACATGTATCATTTACTCACCACCTCGGACGAACGACAGCTCGAACGACAGCTCTCGCTGAACTCTCACCTGGAAGTTGCAAAGGTACCGCCAAGAAAGGATCATGAAGATAGGCATCTTCAGAAAAGTCCTGGCTGAGAAGTTGAGAAGTGCCAAAAAAAAAACTTCGAAATGCACGTGCACCATCAGCATGATCACAGCTCGGCTGGCTCGCAAGTATGCTTGGAAGTCGTCTTAGAAGTTCTCAACGCGCTGCCGTCCTTGATGTCCGTTCCGTCTTTTTCGAGAACCTTAGGAGCCACTGGAATGGATGTAAAATGGGAGGTCTCGCCAGAAACCATTAGCCTTTTTGACCCAAATCACCACGATCACAAGCACCGATTTCGATTCTGGCTCCCGCACCCATGGCAGAAGCGAGCGCCATTGGATCCGGTAGTCTGTCAGGTCCTGCGGCGAGAGGAAGTAGAAGGAGTAGAGTTTAGAAGGAAACAAAAAAAAGTACACCCTGACTCACGTTGCATGGAAGTGGATGGCACCCCTTGTCGGTAGAGGAAAGGGGTGTCCCTCCTCGAAGGAGATCCCCTTGAGCTCCAGCAACACCATGGGCTTCTTCTCGGCCCCGGCAACTGAGGGGACCGCGTGTCGAAGGGAGGGATCGGATCACTGGTAAAAGACCCAGGTGGCCACAGGTCGTGGCGCCTGGGATGAAGGTCCGTCCGTTTGGAGGTCAGATGCGCCATGGGGTTGCCCATAGGTGAACACATACCCTGATGGATTCCATCTTCATATCCACTTGCACTGCCCCACCTTCATGAGAAGCACCTGCAATCTGCCTGGCAATGTGGAAATGAGGACAACAAGTGACAACAAAGCCTTCCTTCCTAGCACCACAGAGTCCACTGGGGCCGGCAGCTAGGTCAATATACAGCCGGGATGGCACACGTAGTGGTGCTGATGGTCTATCTGCCTGACACATCTTACATCCACACAGAACAAAGCGGTTGTGCAAGCCTGCAAAACTCCACAAGTTTTCAGTCGTTTCACGGAGAATGACCTCAATATTTTTTGACTTTCTCACGGGCGCAAGCAGCTGCTGAATTGTCCTGTTGCTCAGGATGGAATCGACTGTCCAGGCATCTGAAGGCCGACCAAATGCGGGCCACAAAAGCGCGAATCAAATGGAAAGCATTTCGAACAGTATGTCTGCATGCACAAATTACCGTCAGCTGTCGCACTTCCAGAATCAATAACACACAGCCTGGCAAGAGATTAACTGTAAGAAGTTCATCACCAGTAGTAATAGTACCTGAGTACCAGTACCTTCGGCCTCAGCAATCCTTCCTTGCATGGCAGTTCCTTGTTGGAGAACCCCCTCTAACATTTAGCTTAAAACAAACACAGACAGGCAGGTTTCTACGGGTTGTACACATTCAAACAAAAACATTGAGTTCTGAAGTGCCCCAATTCCATCACTAGCTTTAGCTTGCCCATCCGACACCCAACCGCATGCACCGCACGCATCCCACGTCGCAACTGCACGTGCGCTCGGACCCCACCGACCCATCACCGACTCCGACGGAACACCACCGCCTTGCAGATCAGGGCGCCGAAGGTGTCACCTGAACACCAACCCCCCAAGGCTTCGAAGGTGTCGAGAGGTCGGAGCATCCCACCCATGCGGGGCCAATATGCGGGGAATGCATAGGAGTGACCCTTCGGAAACTACATACTTACAATGCTAGCCCCCCCCCTCCAGAGCCAATGTTGGAATGGAGAGGAATGATTCAGAAGACGCATGCCAGTCAGCAGACAGATAGTAAGTGGTGAATGTGCGCGTGAAAGTCAATGAGGCAGAGGCTGCATGTCGAGAAGCAGACAGATAGCGTTGGAGAAGTGTCTGGTTTAGTTTGTTGCAAGGCAGGTGCGGCAGAAGACACCTTTTTGCCGCGTTGACCAGCAAAGATTTATCCGTGGGCGCAAGAAACCACTGGACCAACACTCCAGTGTCAATCCAGAGGTCTTGGCCACGGCGCCAGTACTCGTACTGGGCAGATCGAAGCTGAAGCTTCAAGAATTGACTTCCGACGCGGGTGTGTTGATTGATGTTCAGCCGCTCCTTCAGAAATTTCCAACAACGGTCGATAATTTGGGTACCTGACTTACATTTGATGACCTTTTTGGAGCCAGGCACCTTGACAGCTCTAACCTCCGGACCCAAAGAGTAGCGTCGAATCTGATATCCACCAAGCTGCTCCAGAAGCCATTGGAAGCCTTTGCGAGCAAGTTTTTTGTTGGCACCGCTCCACTGAAGCTCATAGCCTTGGCCTTGGGGAAGAGTTTTGATGTAGGATCCCTTCACCTTGATCTTGTCCGAGGAGATGTGCACATGCTTCAGGAGGCAAACTTTTCCATCAGACTGCGGAAGGAAGAAGTACTGGGCGACTGAATCGAAAGCTGGCCGTACCGGTCGGTAACAGGACCAAAAAGACCAAAAGACTAACAGGACAAAAAAAAAACAAAAAAACAAAAACCAAAAAAACAAAAAAACTAAAGTCATTGGACATCCTCCAAGGCTGATGGATTGTTTTCTTGGTTATTTTTGGTTTCTGTTGTTTTTTTGTTTTTTGTTTTGGTATTTTGGGTTTACACTTCAAGGATTTTGTTTTTGGTTTTTACTAGTGTTTGCCATACATCCGAAAACATGCATAAAATACTGTACATACCATCGTAAATTAGCAAAACCTTGGCTTGGGGGGGTACCACATACATACATATATATATATATATGTTACATTACAACACATTACAGTGTAGCGGGAATCGTGTCTGCGCGGGGGGTTCGCGCAGGTTCGCGCGGATTTGCACGGGTTCGTGCGGGGTCAGCATGGTGGGCCATAGCATCCACCTTTGTGGCCTTGTCACAGCATGAACACAATAACGTGAAGGAAGCAAAAGTTTGAAAATGGCGGGAAAAATAAAGAGGACGACAGTGATGATGAGGATGACGCAGGTGAAGCTTTGTGGTTGCAAGGTGGGCCTTACCATCCACCGTTGTGGCAGTGTCGCATAACAACGGGGCCTTGACAAGCGCTGTACGTAGAGGCGCCGCCAATGGCTCGACAGCCCAACAGGAAGGAAGCAAAAGATTGAAAATGGCGGGAAAGCTAAAGAGGACGACAGTCATGATGAGGATGACGCAGGTGCCAACCGGAGCGAACCGCTGCGAACCGGTGCGAACCGCTGCGAACCGGTGCGAATCGGTGGGAACCGGTGCGCGTCAAATACCACACGCGCGCGCGCGATGTCGCAATGTGATCTTACATTACATTACATACATACATACATACATACATACATACATATATATATATTAGATAGAGTTTGATAGATATAACATGTACATCTATTGCTCAGATGCTGTTGGTCTTTGAGATCAAGAGTGCAACTGGGTCCTCCCTCAGTCAGGATATGTGAGGCACGTGTGATGGCAAAAAAGAAAACAAGTCGTATATATTCACTCAACCTGGACATTCAGAAGAACATTGGGGTCTTCTCTGCGGATATGTATGATCCCGACGTCGCAGAAACTTTCTTATCCTGCCGAGCATTGCTTGCTGCTCTTGCGGCTGCTGCCGCTGCTGCTGCCCTGGAGCGGCGGTGGTGGTCGTAGTCGTAGTCGTAGTCGTAGTCGTAGTCGTAGTCGTAGTCGTAGTCGTAGTCGTAGTAGTAGTAGTAGTAGTCGTCGTCGTAGTAGTAGTAGTATTAGTAATAGCAGCAGGAGTAGCAGCAGCAGTAGCAGCAGCAGCAGCAGGAGTAGTAGTAGTGGTAGTAGTAGTTGTAGTAGTAGGAGTAGCAGTAGCAGTAGCAGTAGCAGTAGCAGTAGCAGTAGCAGGAGCAGCAGCAGGAGCAGCAGCAGCAGCAGCAGGAGGAGGAGGAGGAGTAGTAGTAGTAGTGTAGTAGAAGTCGTCTTCCTCTTCATCTTTGTGTTTGTGGTCGTCGCCATCGCCGTCGTCGTCGTCGTGGTAGTCGTAGTGGTTGTTTTTGCTAATGGGCTTAAAACCGCGCGTGTAGTGAAACTGATTTTTCATACAGTCCTTTCGGGGGGGCAAGAACACACACGCAAACACACGCATTGGAATATGGAAGATGGGGACAGTGGGGGGTTACGGGGGAGGGGGGGTTGGGTGGGGGGCTAGTGATGTTCATGTTGTGTGCATTTTTATTAGGAAGCCACACACGCACACGCAGGCTGGAATTCTTGTTCTAGTTACAAAGGGGCCCAAAGGGAAATGAGTGGTGATCATCTTCTCGCAGGTGCGTGCAATCTGCGTCCAGATTCCATATCACAGCAAACTTGAAGTGTCTTCGTTGAGCGGTGACTTCAAGAATGCCCACCGCTCCCCTGCTATCAACAGTAGTAAAAAAGTCAGGCATTACATTCCAAAAGGATCCCTGTGACTTCAAGGGGCACACACACAGACAGGTCGGTACACACAGGTGGTCGGGGTTTGTCAGTTCTTTCTTTAGACGTCGACGCATGGAACTTGGCTTGGTGGTTGCTGACTGCTTGCTTACTCCGAAGTTTTTTCCGTTCGGGGGATTGTCAGATGCTTGAGGTCAGGAGAGCTGTTCATCCACACCGGTGCCATTGATGGTATGTGGCGTTTGTGTAAGGGGTCGGTCCCCACTAGCTTGCGTTCACGTGAAGGTGACGGTATAAGCCCAAACATCATGAAGTTCACTCGACAGTGGCAATGGCGCTGGCACCAGAATAAAGGCGATCTTCTGACGAAGCTGGGTCAGAAGTTGTCCCACAGACTGTGATGATGATGCTGGAGGATGAATTTGCGCGCCTTTTTTTGGCACGAAACCACAGTCTCGCAGCATTTCGATGTCAAAATCGCAACGATTTTTGAGTCGTTTTCATGTACGACATGCTGCAACAAACCTTTCACATCAATGCAAAACACGGTCACACACCGGACATTCGTCATCATTGACCACGTGAAGATTTGACAAATGTCCTCAACCGCACGCGCAGAAACGAGCCCGGCGGGTTGTTTTTGTTGTCGTCGTCGTCGTCGTCGTCGTCGTCGCTTTAGTGAAGTGGAGAATGACCCCTTGGATGACCGTTCTCCTCTACAAACAGGTATTCTTTCACTGCCATGATTTTTCAGGGAATGTAGCCGACTTAGCCTTTCAAGTTGGGCTCCAGCCATCTCCAGCCCATAGAGCTGCTCCTGCTTTTTCCCGCCCATATTGGCTGCGAAGTCACTGCAAAGGCGCTGTGAAAAACGTTAAACCAATGGGGAAAAAGTTCTCCGGCTACTTCAACACAAGGGATATACTGATATAACCTGATATACACAGGAGTTTAAGTTTGAGGAACAACTCTCGGCAGGAGCAGCAACTCCTGTGATGCACCCTTCGCTTTTGGACTGCCAAAATTCGTGAATGTTAGTAAAGGCTCTTCACATGTTCGTGTTGCGAAGATCAGGGTGGGTCCACACTACTCGCCCAACCCGTCCGCCCTGATGCGCCACCAAGGCACTGATGCACGCAGCGCCTTTATGGCTGAGGAGATGCGGCGAATCACAAAGGGCGCGGACACACCGATGCCTTGTAGGTCGGCCTCAGTCCGCAAATCCCAATCCAAAATCTGCAGAACCCGGGCAGTTCCCTCAAAGATCCTCAAAGTACACACCTCCCACTGCCAGTGGGACTTCTTTTGATTGACCTGTGACCTGGCGCTGTCCAATCTCTACACTCTGCACTCTGCTCCAGTTTTGCGGAGACCCAGTGTCCATCGGCAGAACATGCAGAGACTCTTTGCGGAGACCCTACATCGACTTCTCGACTCGTTCTCCATCGGCTTCCGTGACTCTTGAAAAACATCCCTCCCAACCAAATCACACCTGAAGAAATGATCTTAGATAAAAACACAACCAAAAGAAATGTCATGAAGAACGGTGCTTCTCAAAGTCGGTTTCTTCTGGGCCTCCTCCAGTGTCAGAAGAGTCTTGCCATCGATTCCGTACTCCGCCAGCTTCTTGGTAAACTCAGGCCTTGCACGGAAACGCCCCAGCCGAATGCGGACTCACAAAAGCTGTTTGACAAACAGGAAACATGTTGAAGGCGTTTGTTTTAGGCTGTGTATATATATATATATATATGTCTGTGCGTGTGTATGTGTGTGGGGAGTGTATGTATAAAGGCCCCAAGAAAACACCGCTGCTTTGAGCTCAACACCTTGACCAAACCATTCAACCACCTCAATCATCTCCGAATTCAGATCGCCCAAACTCTGAGGTCGGGACACTTGCAATGAAAAGCTCCAGAGCTGAACTTCGTATGCCGTCCACTTGCATGGCTCCGCGCGCTGCGGAATGGCCAAAGACGAGTCCGTTCTGACTGCGGTGGACTTTCTCGCGGATGGGTCGCGCGAGGTGAGTTCCTTGGGAGATCGTCTGTGGATCAAGAACGCCAAATGAGGTGGCAGATCGATGATTCAAAAATGCTTCTTGTCAGATCCAGAAGGTTTATCAACAATAGATGTTATCAAGGATCATCATGGATCATCGTAGGTGTGTGATGTGTTTCTTTTATATATATATATAATCTTTGATTTGGAAGCATCCTGGGTGACTAGGGTGTAGATGGATGTAGCATATTTTGGAGCACAGCCAGAGTTCTTCAGCAAACATGTCAGGTTGATTACATCCTTCCCGAAGGACACAGAATGGTTCGCATGTGCAACCCATTGGAGACTCATAGATATATGCTGGAGCTTGGCCTTGTATTCAAAACTGTGGTCGACTTTCCCTGAGCAGAGGCTGACTGTGTTTGTGTTGTGTTTTCAGTTTTCTGCTGAAACAAAGGATTCCTGAAGAAGCTGGCCGAGCTACAACAACAAAAGTTGGTCTTCAATTCTTCAAGCTAGCCTGCCTTTTGCTTCTTGGCCACTCGTGGAGGCTGTTGACTGTTGCATGACCGCTGGTGGACCAAAACAAAGAAGACATTCCAGTAACCTAGCACCAAACCAGGTGGAGAAATGCCACAGACTAAGTCACTGCATGGTTAAAGTTCCCCCCGAAGCATCCATGGGGTCTACAGTATTGAAGATGGATCTGGGGACCGAATTTGGCCTTGCTGGCCAGCCTGACGAGCCGCCTGTACAACATCCCGAAACGGGGCCTCCACAGCAGACCAAAAGAGCCAAGGTAGACTCTTGATGAAGGAAACACCCCATAAGATGTAGACCATCCTGGATCCCGACGGGGGTTATTCGATCCCGTCTCCAGGTGTGTGTTTTGTGCGGAAAAACATGCCAAAAGTGTGCGGCAAGCTTCCATGAAGACCGAGTAGGGTTGCGCAGGCTCCAAGTCTTTCAACGTGACAGTCAGAAAGGACTCCCATTGTCCATCTGGAGTCTCTCTGAGAATGAAGCTACAATCCTGTCGGATGTCCTTCGACTTCTCCCCATCCGACTTACGAACTTCAGCAACAACTTGAACCTGCAATCCTGCGAACGATGCAGTTTTGGACAGGGCCTCCACTGTCAAAGAAGTGGGGTGAAGTGCGGTCAAGCGCAATGTCACATCTTTCGAAGCAGCCTCTGCACTTGCAACTGGAACCTGTGCCTTGCTTGATGCTTCTTGCTTCACATCCTGCTTGATCTTGGACTCAAATTTCAGATCCTCGCTCTTTACCTTCTCTTCTTCTTTTTTGGGTGTTACCTTCGTCTTGACTTCAACTTTGGCCTTCTTTACACTCGTATTGGAGCTCGAGGAGTTTTGGGCTGGAACAGAGTAGTCGAAGTGCGGCATCAGCACCTTCTGCAAGTCAAGCAAGCCCACAGTCTCTTGGCCCAATAGAGCTTGGAGTCTCTCATCACAAAGGATTTCCCGCTTGTTTGATGGATTGATCAGATTCTGATCCTTCGAATAAGCCCATATCCTCTTCACGGTTTCTGGCCGACTCAGTGCCTTTTCACCTAGCAAACCTTGTAGCTCTTCCGACAGCGTCACAGGCCGTAGCATGGCTTCGCGGCTGGAATTGCGCCGTTTGGCGGTGACGCGGCGCTTCTTCACTCTCCTCTCAGCTTTTCCGCGCTTCTGGTGGATGGCCTCCTTCTTCACCTTCTTTTCCATCTGTTCAGCTTTGGCACGAAGGGCGATCCCTCGTTTCACCAAATCATCCACACAAGGCTTGACATCCTTCGTTTTGGCCTCACGCTTGACAGTCGCCTCTGGCTTCGTCGACTTCAAACTCTCCGACTTGACCTTCTTCTCCACTTTCAAAGGCTCTCGCTTGTGGTGGGACAGCTCGGCCTTCACTTTGCAAGCAAACTCAGACTTTGACACAACCATCTTCTCATGGCGTGACGAAGACCCAGAATCTCCGCTGTCTCTACTCTTTCCGGGATGAAATAATCATGATTAAACCTCATTTAAGAGGCGCTTCTGAGTTGTGTGCGTCTTTGACGTGTTGATCAAAGTTCATCAATTGGCCCTGGGTGTACACAAAAGATTTGGATTTTGTCCATCTTGGAGTCACTGTCTTTTGATGTCTTTTGCTATCTTTGACTGGCAGGTTTTCTGCCGACATGTGACTGGGCAGCGTTCAAATGATCTTCGTACCGCCATGATTTAGATTGATCACCGACAATTGACTAACGTGTAGGCAACCGAGAACGAAATATAACTACTTACAGTATATATGTTTTTGTTCACATCTCATGAGATGTCTTCCATCAACAGCAGCAACAACCCTTGGAATTTCTTCGTTGCAATGTGTGGTTCGGCCCAAAAAGCTTCCATCTCCAAACCGATCATGTAACAAAATCAAAAGAAACACCCATCGCCTCTCGGCCACTTGGTCTACGCTGGCCACCCTGGGCGGATCGACGCATGTCCGTGCGGATGCATCTCCGTGACCGTGACCGTGACCGATGCCGACGCATGCCGGCGGGCCCAGGCGGTCCTCGTGGAGGCTCATCCAAGTCGAAAGATCCCGATGAAAGGGTTATCCAAATCGAAAAGGCCTTCACCGTACACCCGTGCGGCGGAGAGAAACCTCCAGGCGGCGGCGGAGATTCACCTCCCCCCCGACGCGAACTGAACTCCCTCCCGTCTTGCTGAGGCCAGCAGCGACTTTGGTGCTTCCAGTGCTTCCGGTCCTCCTCAAGCTGGCCAACGCTGGGGAAACAGTTTGAAGCCACTGCATCATCTGCATTCAAAGTTTCAAGCCAATGCATCCAAGTGTCTCCTCTGATCCTCAGTCCAAGACTTGTGGAACGAGTCTTAACATCAACTTAGACCATCGTAGGTCATGCGTCCACGTCGTTCGGGGAACAAAAGGATCCCGGATCCCGACCAATCCCCCGCTGGTGGCCAGCAGCCAGCGCGGCCGAGAATCAATGAAACTCCCCACAAAAACGATACTGTTCAACCATGTTCAACCCATGAATGGGTTGAGGGGGGGTGATTCAAAAACCGTCAGCAGTCAACATTATTGGATGGTTGATGATGGTTGTAGTGGGTGGCCATGGTTACAGCTCAAATCGTCCCATCTCCCCCAAGCATGCCTGGCCTTTGCTGCCTTTGCGAGCACCCAGCGGGGGCAGCGTCTGCCTCCGTGCTGAGGCGAGTGAGGCTGGTACCGAACTCCCAAGGTTTAGGACTGGTGGGTTCGTCATCCCCTCTGTCTGGACATCGAGAACGAAAAGAGTCTCCTTTGGTTCTTCTTTGGAACTCCGATCTCTGATCCATGAGAGCGACCAGCCACCCTCTTGTCGGTACAAGAAAGAAAAATGGACATCTCTTTTCTGTCGTCCCGTCTTGGAGCCATTCCAAAGGTGGCGCGTTCTTGATGCATTCTTGACTTGTTCAAGTTCTAACAAGCTTAATTACTGACGGTTTTTCACTTTGCACATGTCAGAACCATACAAGCAGTATTTATCTTCGGTTGGCAGCAGCCTCGAGTTTGCCATAAGCTGACATCAGAATGCAGGCACAATGCAGGCTAAAATCCAAACGCAATCCAGTCTTGCTTTGACCCTAGGTAGACCAAAACTCTGCACTCTTTGCATGTTGCATCATTCTGCTCGTGCAATCTCGTGAAGGAAGAGTCACGGGAGGAGGTGATGTAAACACCTACGGGAAAGCTCATGATCAGGGTCTGAGCCTGAGCCACTGATTCTCAGCCAGAAACTGGTGAGTCTTGTTCCCTAGTCCACTCTGTGCGATGTTTGTCCCACGTTTTCAGCGAGAATGCTAGTGAATGTCGCATCTGTGAGTGCCATGGGCCATGCCATTGATTCTTCATGAAGATGCTCAAGAAAGAGAAGCTCAGCAAGTTAGATTGGGAAGCTAGATAAGGCGCAGGGCTTGAAGTGACATTTTCTTCAAAGCATCTTTGGCTGTGAGAATATTTGGCACAAGGCATGGGCTAAAGCAAGAAGTCTCTGTAGCCTTGCTGCCTATCTTTCGAGGATAGATTGCTGATCTGAAAATAGATGGAGCTAAGAATAGCACCTGATGGCACATTAAGTGTTGCAAGTGGACTCGGCATGGTTGGGTTCAGTGCCGTAGTATATTCTTGAGCTGGCGTTGGTTTAGGCATCGGCTCAATGATGGGCATTCGCCCTAGATTCTCAATCAATTGTAGAGGCCGATTGCCATCCACACGCTGCAAATACTCAACCACCCGATGCTCATAGTCCCATTGCGCCATCTTACGGGTCAGAAAATCCTCATCAATGTCGGTTTCCCAGGTTGGATTCTCATGCAGAATAGGTCCACGAATCCTCAGTATGATCTGGTCCTCGTCCGACCATGGATATCCACCGGGGCCATTGGGTTCGCTTGGGCTCTGGTGACTTAACTTTGGCATATGCGCGAGGTTGGTCGCCGCCTTGTCAACTCGTCTCAGAAGTACTTGTGCAACTTGCAGTGCATTCAAGGCATTAACCGCTAGAGCTCTGGCAATGTTTGAGCCATGTTCGAACTTGCTCGCAAGCTCTGACAACTCTTCGCACTCGCCCGTCGCCTCACAAGGGGCTGCAGGCCTGGACTCTGCTTCAACACAAGCATTTGGGCTATGATTTTCATCGCCTGGCACTCCGGTCATCAGTGCCTTACTGCCAAACACGCCATATCGGCTGGCCATGGTGGGCACACCTGGTGGCAAAGCTTCTCCAACAATCGTCGGCTGTGGTGGCCTCAGGGTGCTGTACCACTTCACAAAGTCATCTTCGGACAGCGTCTGGGGGGATTCGCCCATGCCCAGCAGGTTCGCAAAGAAAGCCCCTGCGGTTCTCCCCATTGGGCGGATCAGATCGGCTTAGAAGCTGACCACTGGATGGCTTGAGACAGCGGCCACAGCGGAAAAAGAGGTATTGACTAGACTTAGATATGATAAAATATTGTTTGAAATATGATGTGACTCCCTCTCTCTCTCTCTCTCGACAAAAAATATACAAAAAAAACATGCCAAACGTGGAACCAATTTGAAGAAACGCAGGCATGTCGAATGTGGGGTGATGAGACAGCCAAACAAACGGAGATCTGTTCAAAGCGTCACCTTTTCTCTAGGAGGACTCCCATGAATTGAGAAAGCAAATAGTGGCAATCCTCACGGGGATGGTTACAAGGCTATGTCTGAAGTCTTCAGCTCCACTGGGTGACCACAAATTGGTGTTCAGATGTGCGAGGCCCTTCGATCCGACTCGGTGGCTTTTGGGGTCGCGCGGGTCGTGGTCGCGGCACGTGTCGCGGGTCGTGTCGCCGCACGGTGCAAGCGGGCTCGCGACGTCCTCGCCATGTGCACGCCTGCGGTCCCTCCCCCTGGTTCCTGCTCAGCCACCTATGATCCCCCCTGCGGTCCCCTCGTGGTTACTTACCATCACTTGACCTTCCTAAAGCTGTGACACCCGGTCCAACATGGTCAAACCAAGTTCTGCTGGGCGACAAGCGAAAGGGCGAGGGACGCCCAGAGGAAACGGTGAAACGTGCGGCCACTGGTCAGCGACCTTCGGGCATTTCCTGCCCTCAAAGGCCTCCTCTCAGCGCCGCTGAACTTCTGGTGGCCTGCCCATTGTAGGGTCCAACCTCACAACTGCAAGCAAACTTTATAGGCAACCAGGTGCGTTCCTCGACTGAATAAACTTGACCTGGTGGCTTAGTGGCTTGCTCTTCAGAAACACACGCGCGAATTCACATACAAATCGCATACACCCATATCACTCATGGGATTTCAATGGATCCCATAGGGGTTCGACGAAGGAATGGTTTCGTTCGGACCTCTGAGCCCTCCGACCACGGAGAGGCACAAGGGGCAGCGGTTCTGATGGCCCAGCCTGGGCGACACGGCGATGCACAGCGAACGGACTGGCAACAGTGTGTCTTCCTCATGAAACAACAACTGCCGTTTTTCCTTGATACCAAAATCCTCAAAATCCCTCTTGAACAACTTGCTAAATGAGGCCAAATGAGAGTCTGTGTTCCCGGCAGCCACTCGTCAACGCACTCCCTCAGCATCGCACTAGCTCGATATGCCGCCATGCTCGTTGAAGACCAGATTCGTCAGATTTGCTGTTGGAGGCTCAGAGTGGGGCTGGTGAAAGTGATGCTGACAGCTAAGCTTTCGAATCTCCTCACTGAACGGCGCCAGACTTGCGCCTCTTGAAATCTTCCCGGTGTGTGTGCCAGACCGGTTGAAGCTTGGAGGCAGGAAGCAGGCTCAGTAGATCTATATATGTCATAATATAGATCTGTTGCAGCATCTTAAGATCTGCTAAGAAGGTCCACCTTCCACCAACTCCCGCTGACTTTCTCGCAGCTCCTCTCCCTCCTCGTATGGACCAAAGCAAATGCTGCAGTCCGAATCACCTCGGGCACGGGCGTGCGGGCCAGCGCTTTGCGAGCGAGCTTGGCGAGCGAGCGTTGCGGAGTTCCAATTAATTGGTGCAAGGGAACATCTACGGAAAACCATGGTTTTCACTTTCACCCTAAAAAAATGGGTTTCCTGTAGAGTTCCCCTTGAACCAATTCTGGGAAAGAAAGCAGCACACAAAATTGGCCTCCCAATTGCAAGCCGCTTCGAAACCTGCAAGGCTCAGCTGCCACGAACAAGGCAGGCTCATGCCACTAGGTTTGTTCTCATAGTATTTCGGAACAAGACCCCTGACTCTGCCATTGCATGCACAGCAAAGGGCTAGTGAGTGCCGGACCGCAGTCAAAACATGGCGGGCACACACTGTGCGCTTGCTGTACTTCTCAAGCATATCTTGAGGAATGCCACGCTTGAAATCCGACTTCATCAAGTAGTAGAAGAGCAGGACACAAAGTATCTGTGAGAGATGCCACACAAAAATGCAAAATGTTCCAGCAAAAAGATGTGTCATGGAAAGTGCATGGAAGAACAATCCTTGACTTGATCCTTTCGGGGCACTCTGTGGACCACGATGCTGATGAAGTTGAAGAGACAATGTCTCCAAATGGCGTGCGTGAAGTCTGATTCCTGCGAAGTTCATCATCAAAGCATCAATCAAATCGGTTCGCAAAAGTTCGCACCACTTCATGCTACAGTTACAGTGACTCTAGATTCCTGGCAAGCCGCTGAGGTTGAGCAGGGGTTGAACCACAGCCAATGCAATGTGTTGGTATGGCGCGTGTTTCAGGATGTCAAGAGTCAACAAAGAAACACTACTGTAAAGTTTCCTCACGGTCTTCCAAGCTGAACTCGCTTTGGGATCTATTTGCCGGTGATTGTGGACATAACGTCAAATCGCTGGCCTCCGGGTACAATCGGAAGATGAAAGCGACAAGCGATACTGCAGCCAACCTCACGTGCGCGCTTCCCAATTGTAAGATTGCACAACATGGCAAAAATATGCAAAAAAAAAACATTGCCATCAGAGAGAAACTTCCGACTTCTGGATCAAAGGAGTGGCTGAGGCGGCCATGTAGGGTACGCTTCACATCAAATGGCACACCATGTGCCATGCGAAACGTGCGTCGGACGTTTCTGTGGAGTCGGACGCGACAGCTGCGACAACAATAGTTGCCAATCAGGGCGAGGTGAGAGGTGATTTTAAAAAGAAAAAGTGAAATCAAAACAAAGACCCCTACAGAAAAGAATATGGAAATATATCTTGAACAGAGTCCAGCATAGATTTCGAGGGAAAAGTATTCAAGAAAAGCATGTCTACAGAAAGCAAAAATCGTCCGAGAAAAGCATCGAAAGGCTGAGCTGCCTTGGCACGGCAAATGTGTATAGAAAACACCAAGTATTCGTCAAACATTGCAAGAGTAGTCATAACTTCACTTGCTGTCCTTGAAGAAACGCATTGACACACGAACCAAGGGGCTTCAGAGGAAGAATGCTTTCGGTCCCACAATCGAAACGCTCGTCTGCCGAGTCCCTAAGCTTTGCGCCATCCATAGTAGAAGAGCAAAAGGGCCTTCTCGATGCCTTAATTTGGCGAATTCAGGAGACCCATCTCGCCCCATTTCAACACACGCTCATTGAAGCCAAGCACCAACAGAACGACCGACAGAACGGTGCTTAGCACTTTGAAGCGAAGCACGAAGAAGGTCAAGCGCTTTGCCAACGCCGCCGACGGGTACCAAGGCCGCCCACCGAAGGGATTGCCGTACACGTCCAGCAGGCTCCGGGTCACCAGCTGCGGAGTTGGTTGATATCTGGCCTTTCCATCGCGAGCGCGGTCGGTCACCGATTGACAGTCGCTGACAGTCGAACAGGTGAACAACAGGTGAACAGGTGGGGTGGTTTTTGAAGGTTCCACCCGAAGGTCGTTTCCCTTTACTTGTCCCTTCTCCTTCTGTACCTTCCTTGTTTCCCTTCTCCTTCTGACCCAGGAGTTTTCGGAGTCCTTTTCTGTTTTTTCTCTTGGGTGTGCGAAGACCAACCACGCCTGAACGAAGAGACGTCGGGTCCGAATCCAGAAGTAGGGCCTGACCCGTGCAAAAGAATAAAGGGAAACAAATATAGTATATTTATCAGTATAAAAGGCAAAATAAGGGACACAAAGGTCAAGTGTTCAACAACACGTGCAATTGTTCAACTGAAACTACAATGCATTTGGGACTCCTTAAGTTTCCCTAAAATCTAGGAACCAAATCACTAGTGCGAGCGCTTCTTCAAGGAAGCGCGAGCTATCCTGCGTCCATACTAGTACCTACCTAGCTACTACTGGCTGCCTCTAGCTGCTAGCTATCTCACCTCCTAGCGGCATACCCCTTTTTCTAAAAAGGCTACTGGCTGCATCAGCTAAATGTTGAACCCAACTTCCTTCCATCTCGGCCTTGGGACGGCACAGGCAATTCGAGCCAAGCACAAGAGGCGAAGCAGAAAGTCTGTGGGGTCCTTGCAGATCACGACCCCTCCGACGGTCTCCCCAAACCGTACTAGTAAGGCACTTGTTACTAGTAGCGATGCACTTGTTCCTAGTAGCTTAGGGAAAATAAAAAAACACTCTAGAACACCCTCTTTTTTGTTTTGGTGATGTCCATGTAGGAGCTGCCTCTGCTGCTTTTTGTTCTGGTTCATCTGAAGAGAGGTTCCTCTGGTGGTTTGAAAAAGTGCAACAAGAAACGGGCTGATCCCCAAAGCGAAAAAGCTGCTCTTGGGATGTTGATGCAAACCATGCCAAACTAGTTTTGTGCAGCCCATGGACTGTATTCTTGGGAACTTGCGATCCTTGACTCAAAAGAAAAACCAGAAACGCAGAAACACCAAAAACCATAGATATGTATATACTGTACATATTTATATATATATATGATGCAAAACATGGAACAACACTCTCGTCGTGACTTCGTCTCGCTCCTGGGATCCCCAAAATCTCCAAACCAGAATCCAGCAGTGAAGCACCTGGCGACATCTGAACACCATGTGCTACGCGCAAAAACACCAAAGTGAAGCGCCATGTGCATCATCATATTCTGTGCGCTTCTGATAGTTATTCATTCCGTTGTTGGATGCAAAAAAAAACACCCAAACCAGGCCCACACCAGGAAGCAGCTACAAACAATGCCCAGTTCAATGCCACGTTGCCTCAGCGCGATCGCCGGCGCGACGGCCGCCCCGGGTCTTTGCTGTGTGCCATCGGCGCTCGGTGCCCGACATCACCGCGGCGGACTCGTGTGGGAAGAGAGTAAACCTCAGACGCTATTTGAACCAAGAAGCTACTAGTAACAGGTGCCACGCTAGTAGTAACAAGGACGCTAGTAGTAACAGGTGCCACGCTAGTAGTAACAAGGACGCTAGTAGTAATTAACAGGTGCCACGCTAGTAGTAACAAGGACGCTAGTAGTAACAGGTGCATCGCTAGTAGTAACAAGTGCCTTACTAGTAGTAACAAGAAGCTATTAGAACCATCGAGCGACGCTTCTCCCGCCCATCGCTCGGCGACCCGGGCATCTCTGCCATCGGCGACTCTTCCGCGTCCTGGCGCCACCAGCGCGACGGAGCGATGTTCCGCAGCGGAGCTCCCTGGTTTAGATGGATTGAGTCTGGTGTTGATTTTCCCCGTGGTCCTTGGCATATTCCAAGGACCACACCCACAGGCCCAATCTAGATGGTCAGGGGTCCAGGAGGGTCCGCCTGCTTCCACCTCTTTCCTGCAGCAAGCAGTGGGCCCGACCCAAAGCATAGATATGGTCCAAATCCCCCGTGGGTCCTTTGAGAAATTTCGTGGATACTGAACTTCGTTCCATTTGTCCCCAAATAGTTTATCTTCAGCTTCTGATCTGAGGGAAGCTACCAGAAATTCGGAAAGTGCCAGACCTTCCAACAGAAATTCGCTTCACCGCCGGTTGGAAGTGAGGCAAGACGGGGCCCTGAGCTGTGGCGAAAAGCCACGACACCCCCCAAGGCAAGCACATGCAGGCTCCCTGAAAATGAGGAAAGTGGAACATGTGGAACTGTCAACACCAAACTGAGCTACCAGTAGGGTCAAAACCCGAACGTGACACAATGAATCCTTCTCTGCAGGTGCACGCACTTGCAGTCCGCATGCTTGAGACTGGTGGATTTTATAATCAGTACTTGACAGTAACTAGTACGGTACAGTACTTGCATGTACTTGCTTAAGCCTTTCCATGCTGCTTCCCATCCCCTTTTCTTTTCACCTCTCCATGTTTCCCCACGCGCCAACCGCCGCCAACCGTCGCTCCATGGTCTCGGAGGAGGACGCGTCGAGAAGACCGGCTTTAAGCCTTGGGCACGGGGCGCTCGACCGGGTCAAGCAGTGTGGGAGGAGGTCCCAGGAGGTCCCAGGAGGTCCCAGGTGCGAAGAACGTGACTCCCCCTGGGTGGGAGTAGAAAGAAGCCACGGAAGCTTGAGCTAGCAACCAATGGGCGTTCTTTTGCATTGTTTTTTTCAAATGTCTGCAATCTGCAGGGCTGGGAGTGTTTTCCAGGGCTGGGAGACTTGGAATGTTTCTAAGATACCCCGAACGTGATTGACCTGGGACAGTGACGCCATCCACGCCCTCGCTCACGCCCACGCTCACGCCCACGCCCGGGTGCGGGACCGAGTTCGGCTGTGTCTGGGGTCTCGAAGAAACCGAAGGCCTGTGGCCGATGCAGCGCATGAACTGGCGCCTTTCGTGCAACTTGAAGCTGGAAAGCCAAGAAGCCACAGTTCACAGGTGGGGGGTGCAGGTTAGTCTTCCTGGTTCGTCTTCATGGACTCCATGAGATCATCCATGAAAATGGGTGTCCCAAGTCTGTAGTACGGAAATAGATGTGCAAGATCTGATGTGCTGAAGATAGGGCTTCCCGACATGTTGCCGCACGCGTATGGCTTCAAGCAGGAAACATGTGTTTTTACAACTCTCTGGCTTTGCCGAGTACAGAGTCTGGCTAAAGCGGCTAAACGTCTCGTGGAAAGCATCTGAAATGAATGTCCTCCTTGCAGGCTGATTGATCTGATTCATCTGGCGTCGCCTAATACCCAAAAAAACTCATGGCTGTCTGTCACGCGTTGCTCTCCGGCACCAAAGAGCCGGAGTTAAGGCCGAAAGACGTCCAATGGTTCCAAAGTCAACTTCCAAACTGAAGTGTCCAATTTCAGGAGCAGAGCCATATGACTGCTATCAACATTAAACTAAATATGTGTGTTCACCGTTAACTGTTGGGAAGCACATATTGCAGCCGGCAGCTGTTGAAGGATGAACGCGCTTGGACCAGCCGTTGGCCAAGGCGAAGAAGGCCATTCGATTCACCCAAGGAGCACTGGATCAACTGGCGAGTTCCTGAAACACTCAACTCGCCAAGCCTGATCAGATTTCTTAAGCAAAAACCCAGCCCATACTTGATACCAAAGCTGCTCACAGAATGTTCGTGGGATCAAACAGCAGCGCGCAATTCTTCTCTGCTCTGTTAAACTGTGAGAAGTACCTCTGCCAGCTCAACCCAGCCACTTCAAATGCTGCGGAGCTAATTACGGCTGAAGCTCCTAAGACTCTGCAAAGGAAGCCTTGCACATATGGCCGAAACATTCGTGAGTCTGTAGACCCACCGGATAAAAGGCAGGCTTGGGCAATTCTCCAACACCTTTGTTAACACCTTTATTAACACCTTCATTACCCCTGGTTGCAAAGAATGACAGCCCCAACCCTGGTCTCAGGGGTCTACACGCGCAAGGCGCCAAAGACAGCAGTTCAGGCGCTAACAAATTCTCCGCCCGAAGTCAGCTAGTTCCAATGAACCCCTTGCAAAAACTAGGCCTCTATACATTCGCAGTGTCCAGCACCGCCCTCTGGTAGGTGGTCATGGCACCAACCCAAACGCATCACACTTGATGTTGGAGGAAATAAGCTGTTGAATCCAAGAGTATTGTGCTGGAACACCGCAGGGGGGAAGTGTTCATGCTGCCACTGTGGGATTTGCAAGCTATGTACTGGTCACACACTTCTGTACACGCCACCGAGGAGCAACATGCGTCTTTGATGTGCCTGATGTCCTCTTCTTTAAACTCTGTGAAAGCCCACGCGTCATGCGCTTAGATCCTTGGAGCTTCCTCAGCCACGCAAGGCCAACTCAATAGTCTGGAGGATAGCATCCATGCTCTTCGAAATAGCAAGCATCCTCCTCGGCTTCATCGTTCGTCAAAAGTAGTGTGCTCATGCGTGTTCTCTCTGCCGCGTTGCTTGGATTCCCCAGATCCAGGGCTCACCCCTAGCATACCACATCCAGAAATGAAATCTAACAAAAAGGAAACACAAGAAAGACATCTCTGAAACATCCAAGAATCCTGAAAAAGTTCTGTGAGATACTCGTCTTCGGGATCGTGGGACACTTTGGATGCCACTGGAAGGAGCAGTCGCACCGTCTCCAGCAACCCGAGCGCCTCCTCCGCGTCCAACTCGTGGCCTCACAGGCGGAAACGGCCAGCCAGGAGCGCTCCAAGCCGCGCGGGCCGCGCGGCGTTCGGACCCGGAGCGGGGGGGCATTTCAGGCCTTCGGGTCCCCGGGAGGGGAACCAAACCTTCGAGCCAGCCATCCCGCCCATGGCGAACCTCGCCCAAAAACAGCATTGCAGCGGTCGAAATACATCGAAACAACGAACAACGGCTGTGACTGGGGCCTAGCTAGGTAGGTCTCAAGAGGCATCCACGTGTCAGCACGACCCTGACTCACCAAGCGAATAACCACCACCACTAGAGACCAACCCTTCGGCAATCGTCTGCTCTAGTGGTGAGGGGATGCCTTTCTCTTTGTTGTGAGTTTCCAGTATTCCAGTATGTGAAAAAACTGTTTCAATCATGTTTGATCGGAATGTTTGATCGGAATTGTGTTAAAACAAAAAACTGTCCAAATCTACCATTCAAAAGCTCAACTAACTGGCATGTATCTGCGTGTCCTCAAGGCTGCTACGTCAGACACAAGTTGGAAATGAATATGCTCTATATAAACAGATTGGAAACCGATTTCAAATCCATATTAGAATGTTTTTTGGGGAAACAAATGAGCAATCAATATGTTAAGTCAAAACAAAAAGCGGATGTCAATTGGAAACAAGTTACAAATATTTAAATACTATTGTCGAATTGGTGTAGCGGCTCACGAAGTCCACTGCAAGGAAAAAGTGGTGCACGAACGAGTTCGAAACACGGGTGGCAACCTAATGCCGCGGCCGCAGCTATTTTGCGCTTTGAGCCCGCCCTCTGTCGAGCGGATGTCTAAGGTCCAGGCCAAAAAGAAACGTGACATGACATGTCAACTTGATGTTCAGCGAACATCTTCACACGGGGGTGTTGTTCACCCTTCAAACCTAAGTCGGCCGCCAAGGGTCGGCATCTGCCAACCAAGCTTCCAGCTCCCGCCTCAGCGTCGTGCCGCTGTTGTCTTCCACCCGGTCCGGTGGTGGGCGCAAGGAGGCGCAGTATGCACATGCTCTTCGGGTCATCAGATGGGAGGTGATCTGCCGCACAATGTGGCAGGTCTCGTGGCGCCAGCACTCTCCTGTCGAGGCCGTCATGATTGGCCGGGTGAACGGGCAGAGGGAGGAATGCAGGTCCATCTCCATGATGGTGTTCCAGATCAGGCGTGACCATCAGTGGTCAGTGCCCGAAGGTTCACCACTTCATCATTCTGGAGGTTCAGGGCGGCTCTTGACTCTCGTGCCGAGCGTAGGGCTTCCTCAGCACGAATCTTTTCTTGTTCAAGCAGATCTCTCAGCCTCTGGTGGACGATAGGCTCATTCTTTTGAATCTCAACCTCTTTGGTCTTGGGCTTCGGTGCAGTGTCGGTGTTGCAACTCCATCGGCCGGCCATGAAGATGCCGGTCATGACTATGACGTGGATCAAGGCCAAAATGGCGAGCCACATCCATAGGTGTTCGTTGTTTTCTTCTTTCTCTTCTCCCTTTTCACACTGCTGGCCTTGTGCCATAGCCAGCAAAGAAAGCACCAGTAGTGCCAGGAGGGCATTCGGCATGCGACCTGTCAGGTTCTTCTTCTTGGAACAGCTGCCGCCATGGCTCATGGCGAAGACATACGTGAGGGCCTTCGCATTCTGTGCAAGGTAGGCGGTGGCAGGAGTCTCTTCAAACTTTTGCTGTTCCTCATACTCAAAAATCTCTGGGTACTCAGCCAGGTTGACGTTCGCAGGAGTGGGCTCTTCTGCGGGGACAAAGGGCTCTGCAGCAGCGTCGTTGGGCAAGGTCTCCAGCTGGGTCGTTTCAGCTATGGCCTTTTCTTTCTCTTTCTTCGACTTCTTCTTGGAGGCCACATAGTTTGGATCCCAGGTGAGCTTCAAGCGACGATGCCGGAGGCGAGCAGCGAGTAGTGTCCTTGCGGACTCTTTGGTGAGTCCGTCGGCGATTTGCCGTTCTGAGCTCATCCATCGTAGTCGACCTCCCAGCTCCTCCATCATTTCTTTCATCACACGGATCTCCAGGCTGACTCGTTTGTCAACCACGGAAGAGCTGACCCCTTCCCTGTGGTAAGAGTCGTAGAGGGCTTTTGCGTCTGTCACCATCGTCGGCACCAGTGTTGATGGTGCCTTGAGCAGCTCCTTCAACTTGAGGTCGGGGTGCATGAGGGCATGCCAGTATCGACATGTGAAGTCGATGCTGTCTGCAGCTTGACCGCCAGCCTGGGCTTCGGCAGCCAGTGAACTCCTCGTGACTCGAGGCGTGCGGAAACTTCGCCAGTCCAGGACATGGTATTCCCCGTCCTCGCCTGAGGTGAACAGCTGCTTGTTGACGAGCATCAGAATGTAGCCACCTTGTGAGCTTCCATCAGCACGAGCCGTGAAGCCAGCATCAAAGAAGCATAGCAACTGTAGCTCCGATGGGTGGCCGATGTAGTTGTAGAAGAGGCTCACGTCTTTGTGATCCTTTGCAAACTTCAGGAGCTTGTTGCATTCTGCGATGGTGTTCTTTGTGGCTTTCGTGATCTGACCGGAGAGCATCGAGGTGGAGCATTGCAGGTGAGGAGATGTCTGCACAGCGGGCCACTGCATCGATCCCAACAAGCCTCTGACCTGAGTGATCTCTCGGTCATTCAGTGGCTCATGAGGGTTGTGGTTCTTGTGGATCGTGATGGGCTTGACCTTGCTGAAGTAGTTCTCCTGATGCAAGCGTCTCCCCCCTTCAGGAGTTTTCTCGAGCTCGCAGCCACAGTATTCCAGCTTTGGAAGGTCTTCTTTCCACTCTCTGAAGGAGAAGTTGGCGCGAAGGAGGTCAGTCACGGCCTTGTAGCGTGGTGACTTTGGGCAACCTGCTCCAAGCATGTCATCGACGTGCATGATGACCATACCACACAACTTCTCTGGGCCAAGGGTACTTGTCTCCTCATGGATGGGGTCGTTCTCGTTGAAGTGGTTGTCGTCCTTTTCGTAAATGAGGAAAGCACACGGGTCCAGAGGATGTTGGCGAAGACCTGCTCGAAGGAGTCGGTCAACAGCTTCAAGAAACCAACCTCTTGGAGCGTCGGTTTGACCATAGCAGGGCTTCAGTAAGAGCATCCTAGTGTCTTCTGATGCTCCAAGCAACTGCAAGGCTTCGGAGGGAAGCTTGACCCACAACTTTCGGGTCTGAGGTCTGCCCTGCAAGAACGCTGTGCTCACATCGGCAGTCCAGGTGGGCCACTGCATGTTAGCAGCCAGGGAGAGAACCATGGATCGTGACAACCTGGTGGTCGTTGGAGACGAAGTGGTGATGGCGCCAGCCAGTGCATCGGGATCGTTGAAGCCTCTGACAATCAGTCGGGCCTTGGCTCTTGGGCTTCCATCTTCGTTCTTTGACCACTTCAGGAGGATCCTGGATGTCAAAGTCCTGGACTCATCTGCCTCAGCCGTAGTTTGGAATGCCCACACGCCATGGTCGAAAAAGGACTTGAGTTCCTTGACCTTGGCTTCCTTGAACAGAGCTCGTTCTTGTGGTCCAAGAAGTCTTTCATTTGCTCCTCCTTTGTCTTTCTTGACCTTCTTGTTGTAGGCCTTCTTCTGGTCCTTGGCGACTTGGCGAACACTTGTGTGAACAGTGTGCGTGCCGGTATACATAGCCATCTCTCGCCTGGTATCACCTGTGAGTTGAAACACCGTAGTTCCGGTCCAGGTGCCAGAGATGCCTTCAGGAGGAGTAGTCGTCGTTCCATCATCGGTGAACAGTCGGCCTTTGCCGTCAGCTTGGTGCACCATTGTGATCTTGATGTGGTCGAGCTGTTCAAGCTGGACAGGGCAATCTTTAGGAAGATGCTCAATGTGCATGCGACCTCGGCGAGGGATCAAATGATGCCTCATGAGGCAGCCAGCTTTCAGCTCCCAGTAGTCCGTGACACGATCATCGAGCTGCAGGTAGCCATGTTCATCCATGTGCCAACCAGTGGGCAATGCAGCGGTGTCAAGATTCTCCAAGTAGAATCCTTGGCCAGCAAGCTGTTCCGCTGGTGGTTGTGGTACGTTTGGCTGTTCTGCGCTCGCGTGACTTGTGTTGGCCGTGTCATCGTAGGGCGCAGGCCCGTGAGTACGGCGATGCCGGAAAGGTGCAAAGCTGAGTGTCTCTTGTCTGTTGATGCGCAAACGCTGTTGCTGGAATGTCTCTGCCGGCGCCGGTTCGTAGAGTGCTGCTGTTGCAGGATCCAGCCTGGGTTGTGATTCCCCTGCTGGTGTGTGAGGCGTTGTTGTATAGCTGCAGGAGGTTCCTCACTTGGTTCCTGACTCGGTAAGGACAGTCCGTCCTCATCATCTGGAACTGCAGGCGGTTCCTGGGATGCCTCTGCAACTGGGCCTTGATCCAGAGCAGTTGGTGCCGTGGGCTGCTGTGGTTCTGCTGGTGCTTGTGGTTGTTCTGCGGATGCTTGTGTATTGGCAGCAGCCGGGATCGGTGGATCCATGGTCAGTCTTGGACGCTGCCTGGGAGGTGCCATCTCATGTTCAGACTCCGTGTCAAGTGTGGAGCCTTCACCATGCTCATCTTCCTCGACGTCGGCCAAGTTCTGCCGATTGGAGCGCTGCAGGTCGTAGAACCGAGTCACACCTCGAGAACGAAGTTGGCGCACAGTGTTGAGAGCCTTCTGGGTGTCGTCAATGGCATGGTCGAAGCTCTTCACATCAGCACGGACGTGGTGAGGTGCACAGCGAATCAACTGAGACTTGAATGCCAGCCAGTAAACTGATACTGGTCCATCCGCTTCACCTTCAACCGGAGGTCGTCTCTCTTTCATCACCACCTGAGCAGGGCCAAGCCAGCGGATCTTGACGAGATCTGGTTGTCGTGCATCACGCCAAAACCAAACTTGTTGTCCCAAGGCATACTCAGCATTGGTGCCCTTGTACTTGAGGGTCAAAGCACGACGCAAGCGACGGTCAGCGTCGGCATCATTCAGGGCTTTGCGAGCAGCATGACGCTTGGCCAGCATGTCCTCGAAGGTCTGGTTGCCGCCGAAGTGGGACGGTTGAGTGGCATCAGACAGCAAGTCACCAGCCAATGACGGCTGATAGCCCAGCACCCATTGAGACGGCGAGAAACCAGCAACGCCAGGAGTGCTATTCATCTGTGGGATGATGTAGCTGAGTGCTTCTTGGATGCCTGAAGGTCCGTCGGCAGACATGTCATCAAGGTAGACCTCGACAGACTTTCGGATCACTGCATGGCGGCGTTCCACCAAAGCCAGGCGTTCGTGAGCTTCACCTGGGGCAACTGAGTGCTTGATGCAATGTGCTGCAGTCCATTCATCCATTTGATTGCTCAACCAGCCACGGCCTTCGTCGGTGAGCAAAGTGGCAGGTGGCCCAAAGTGGGCGATCCAAGCACGCTCAAGTGCCTTGATGTAGTTGTCGGTGTGCTCGGAGTTGATCAGAACTGCTGCAGTGTAGCGCGTCGCGCTGTCAACCAAGCTCATGATGGCATACTTGATGGTGCCACGCCTTAACCACATCACATCGGCTTGGAGGACATCGTTGAAGTTCAGCACAGTGGGCGTAGCAGCTGGTGCAGCTTGTGATGGCTTCTTGTATTTGGCACAGGCAAAACATCTGTACGATCTTGCTGCTTGCAGGACGGCTTCAGAAGCACCACGAGATTCCAGCAGTTCGACCAGAGCAGCCGGTGCAGGATGGCCAAGATTCCAGTGGAGTCGTTGAACCGTGCGGACGGCATCTTGTTTGGTGTGACTTCGAAGTCGTATCAAGGAGCTTGTTGTCTCCTTTTCATCCTCGGCGGCATGTCCAGTTTCCCATTGGATGGGAGGTTCATCGACTGCCAGTGCTGCAGCCAGGGTCGCAGCCAGTGCAGGCTGGTACTCTTCAAGATATCGGGTGCGAGATCCATAGCCGGGCGCAGCTCCCTCCAAAGGACAATGTTCATGATCGTGCTGACACTGGAGGGTGAAAGCATCTTGGACGGCCTGTTTGGTCGTGAGGAAGGTGGTGTTCTTCTGAACTGGTTTCCAAATGCCATCATCATCTAGGCATTGTGCTCCATAGCGGCACTGGGAGAAGTCGGCTCGTCGGCCGGGAAGATCACGTAGAGCTCGGGTCTGCCAGGAGAGTGCGTGCTTTGGCTGCTCGATGGTGGCGTGTCGACCACCCTTCACCTGACAAAGGTAGCTCCGTCGGGTGAACATGAGATGCCGTTCGTGATGTCGATGTCGAGCGGCCTTCAAAGCTTCTTTCTGAGCAGGTGTCCGACGGCCTAGTGACTGCATGCGACTCCATAGCTTGCATTCAGGTGCAATGAGCAGCTCATCAGGCGCTTCTTCTTCAAGTAGGGCCAGGAACTCATCTTGGTGTCTGAGCTGTTCGAAGTCCCAGCCAGTGTCATAGGAGAAGCAGCGGACTTCCATGCCCAAAGATTCAGCCACTTGCGCTGTTCGCGCTTTGCCACAGTAGATCTCCCATAACAGTCGAGGTCGTTCAGGCTGATGTAGTTCCTTGGTGACATAGGCAGACAGGTCGTTGAGCTGTGTGGTGAGGTGGACATCCATGGTTTTCAGCTCATGCCGACGGAGAGGCTTTGTCTTCCCTTCATCAACGAGGTCAGCCTTCTCGAACGCTGAGAAACCGCTTTCGGCCAGCATGAAGTCGTTGAGCTTGTAGTCATCATCTTGCTCGATCCCTTGGTCGTTGGTCCTCAGGACAAACTCAGGTCGCTCAGGGTCGTAGTTGATGCTGAGGTGCTCATTGGTGAGTGACCAGAGGTATTCACCTTGTCTTCCCAGGGTGGCAGGCATCCATGGTGAACTGCCGATCCGGAGTCGCCTCTGGGCGAAGTCCATGGTCATCCCAAGTGCTTCGATGATCGGACGGCCACAGAGCATTGGCGTGTTGCCAGGCAGCAGGAACAGTTCGATGGTGCCGTACTTGCCATCCACAAAGGTGGGGGTGTGAGCAGACCAATCGGACCACATCGATGCATCGCCTCCGAACTGGAAGCGGCGTCGGCCTTTGCTCATCTTGATGACCTCAATGGGGAAGTCCAAGGTGCTCAAGTGATCGAGGTATCTTCGGAAAGGCCCATAGCCAGACAGGAAGGCGCTTGCTCCAGGGTCAAGCATCACACATTCTGGCCTTTCCGCACCATTGGAGTCCTGGAAGATCAGGAGTGCGCTCTCATCAATCTTTCTCTCCAGGGCCATGGCCTCGGTCGTTGACGATGCCGGGCGTTTGGCAGCAGGAGTGCGTGTAGTTGGGCTCGATGAACTCTGCGGGCAATTTGCTGCCCAGTGGCCAGCTTGGCCGCAGCGAAGGCAGGTCATGTTTGCTCTTGCACGCCCTTTTGGATCTGCTTTGCCAGCTCCTTGAGGTGGATAGCGGATCGTGGTCTTTGACTTACCACCCTTGGACCCGCCCTTCCCTTTTCCTTTTGTCCGCCAGGAGGTAGCCGAGGCTGGTGAGGTAGCATTGGATGAAGATCCTCCTTTGGACGGCGAGACATTTCCTCCATCAGTCAAGGCGACAATGGGAAGGTACCCTCGAGCTGTTTTGAGTTCTTGGAAGCGACGACGGGCATCCGTGTAGGAGGCGAAGGCAGCATCATAGGCAGCAGCCATCTGTGAAGGGCTGTTGACCTCATCATTGTCGGGCCAAGGTTCTTCTTCACCATAGTAGCCAGCGTCGTGGTCAAAGTCCTGGCCATCGTCGTAGGCCTCATAGTCATGGCCTTCTTCAGCCCATTGTTCATCCTCCTCATAGTATCCAGCTTCCCAACCGTCATCATCTGGATACGCCTCGTCCTCATAGTCATCAGCCATGTAGGCTCTCTGCTTCCAGGAGTGTCCACCACCATAGCGGCGATTCCGCTCAGCATTCCAGCCTCCTCCCTTGTAGTCCTGGCCAAGGATCAGGTAGAGAGCCTCAACCACCGCGTTCTTCTCCAGGTCTGGTGCTTTCAGGGTGATGAGTTGTCTTTGCTCTCTTGAGAGGCCGGAGCGACGAAGAAGATGCCAGCCTTGAACCGAAGCTGGAAGCTCAATGCGGTGCTGTTGCAACTTTCTGTATGCTTCTTCATGGTCGGCCACGTACAGCAACAACGTCTGGCCAGGGGAGCGCTGCAACAGATTGAAGTATGCTTCAAAGTCCGTGGGGAGCTGTACCTTGGCGTCATAGGAGAAGTTGGCATCTAAAGTTTCGATGACCTTCTTGAAGGCGTCTTCTTTCTCCAGTTCGTCGATGCCCCAATCTTGGAACAGGCGCCAGGTAACTCCAGTGAAGGAGCCCACGATGTTCAGCGCACTTTCATTGGCCCTCTTGGTCAAGGACATCTTCCGGTGGTAGAGCTGGATTCTCTGCCTCCATTCTCTGTAATCGGCCGGTTGGCCGGTGAAGACTGGCACGTAGCTGTCCCTCAGGTCCAGGTAGGAGGTGCCATCTTGTGAGCTCGATCCCGATGCCGGCGGCTAGTCTTTCTTCTGCCCGTGAGGTGGCATGTAGCTGTTCACAGGGACAAAGGGCTCTGCCTGGATGTGGTGAACAGGTAGTGGATGGATCCACCAAGCGAGAGCGAGAACTGCTAATGCCAATCGTGCCGTCGGTCTCAGCCGGGGTGAGGAGCTCGTGGTCGCGTAGATCTCCGGTAGGGAGCCCGCAGGCTCCGCTACCAATGTCGAATTGGTGTAGCGGCTCACGAAGTCCACTGCAAGGAAAAAGTGGTGCACGAACGAGTTCGAAACACGGGTGGCAACCTAATGCCGCGGCCGCAGCTATTTTGCGCTTTGAGCCCGCCCTCTGTCGAGCGGATGTCTAAGGTCCAGGCCAAAAAGAAACGTGACATGACATGTCAACTTGATGTTCAGCGAACATCTTCACAACTATACTTGATTGTGAAAAAGGAAAAACACATGTATTTTATGACTGTTTTTTTGAGAGAACATTGAAAACCAATACATGTATTGTCTTAAATGCACGATAAACACTAGTAGTTTCATTATATATATATGTATACATATATCTGTGCCACGGTCTCTGACCTCTTTTGTCCCGCTTCAGGCCACCTGCCTTGGCGTCTCATGGACCAAATGATATCCGAACCCAGGGCCAACTCTTCGATCTCTGTGACGCAAAGATGCTGGCTGTCCATCAAATCCACGTGCCATTCGATCCTGAAAAAAGGTGATGCTCCAATCAATTGGACCATCCCCACACAACCGTAATTGTGTACGGGGTGTCAAGGGGTGTTGGGAAAAGAAATGTCCGAAGCAGTGTCCAAGGATCTTGTTGCAAGGTGTTTTCATCAATCGATAGGTCAAATGCTCTGTAGCATCCTCCTGTAAGGACAACGGAGCCAAGCTCGCCTCTGGGACCATCACCACAGCACTGTCCTTCAGCAAGTGCCGGAAAATGCCCTGTAAGTAGTGCTGGGCATCATCTGCTTCTAAGGGCCTGAAAAAAGTGTTTGTGATGTTGTCATGAAACAGCACGTTGGATTGTACCGAAAACATGAAATGATGTCTCCTGAATTGATTCAGATACACATGAACATGGTGCACTTCATCAGAAACCGTACCAGGCAGTTGCAAAAACGGAATCGACCCCTGCACTAAAAATCGTTCACGATGGCACCCAGTGGCACCGGGTGCCATGGCCTTTTGGCAACCAGGGCCTCCGTGCTCCATGGCCATCGAGCCAGCTCAACTGTTGCAGCTGGTCCGCTTGGACTTGGACGCCACCGAAGGCTTCGTGGGCAAGCGCCAGGGTCGTGAAGCTGGACTCCTGTCGGAAGTAGAAGGTGTACCTGTCCTACCTGGTCTCCTACCCCAAAACGTGTCTGCAAGGTCGAAATCATCTCCAATGATATGGGACATGTTGTTCCACAAACGCGTCCCGTTGCCAATCTTGTTTATCTCATTGGCAAATTGGTAATTTGCTCATCTCATATGATCTCACAACATATTGTCTTGATTTAATCACCTTTGCTCATATGGTGCCTTCATCCCGTATCACCATAGACTTCCTCTTCCAAAGGCTCATCTCTTCTTCGTGTGCTCATAGACCCCACTGAATACTCCCACTTCGCAGCACATTCCAAGTTCCTTATTACCTTTACTATAGACAAGAGCCGTAGCATTCATCATTTCTCTCTTTAAACCAGCGGTGGGGTTTCCCAAGCGGCCCGAGCTGACTAGAGGCACAGGAGATGATAACCCTGTGCCGACATGAAACGTCGAAATGTCGGCTGCACAACACCTGGGTCTTTATGCGTATAATTCACGTAGTACCAACACACTATTTCTGATCTCATGCACAGTATGCCCTTTCGCACCACTATTCTCCTCGGCATTGGGCCTCCATTGGTTGTGTCATGTCTCAAAATCAAGGAGCTCAAAAAAAAATTAACTGGTTTTGGTCAACCACCTGTTCTTCCACTACAGGGTTTGGGTGGTTCTTACATTGTGCAACACACACATTGAGTCCGAGTTGTGAGCGCTGGTCGTTAACCTATGCAAAACTGTTGCTGGTGGTTCTGTGGTCGTTTGAGCTTCGTTGGTTGATCCATGGAACACCCACCAAATAAACATGATTATAGTATAATACCAAATGGACTTTGACTCAGAGTCCATGATTTATGGTTTGGCATGTACCTCTGACACACAACCCAGCATTTTGAGATTAGTAAAAGAAGGAACTTCCATCGTGGCCAAATTCTGTCTGGCTGTGATGGGATGTGTTGGGTCTGAGGTCTGACGCGCGAGTGAACAGAATCGAGATCCTCCCCGAGTCTTCCGCACCTCCACATTCTCTTTGACAACTCTCCTGTACTTGGGCTGGATGATGTAAGACTTGTGTCCTGTGGCATGAAGGTAGAACGCACAAACACACAAGTTGAAAGTCTACAAACCAGAAGCTGGGGCACAGGGATAAGATGCATGGCGGTTCTGAAGTTTCCAGGTCACAAGAAATAAAAACACCCAGTAAAAGAAAGAGTTCTTTATCTTTACCTTCCCACAAGTTGTACTATACAGTGAATTGAAAACAATTGAAAACCCGTATTCACTTCCCATGGCCTTTGCCGCGGCCATGATGGCCGTGGTACTGTCGATGCGCGAGATCAGCCATGCCGTCCACAAAGCCGAGTGGAGCGGAGCGAGGAAAGCAGCTTTCTGTGACCAAATGGCTGCGCAGTGAAACAGGGTTAAGTTTTGATATACACACACGCACAGATACATGTATATAAATAGTATATGTGTGTATGTATACATATATATATATAAGTATATATATATATAGCAGGGCCGGCTTGACAAGCTCCATTTTCGAGTCTCGATTCTCGATTTTCAACCCTCGATCCTTTTCCTCGATTACTACTACTACTACTACTACTACTACTGCTACTACTGCTACTGCTACTACTACTACTACTACTACTACTACTACTACTAACTACTAACATCACTAACTACTAACTACTAACTACTATCTACTACCTACTACCTACTACTTCCTACTTCCTACTTCCTACTTACTACTTACTACTTACTACTTACTACTGCCTACTGCCTACTACCTACTACCTACTACCTACTACCTACTACCTACTACCTACTACTACTACTACTACTGCTACTACTACTACTACTCTTACTACTTACTACTTACTAATTACTACTTACTACTTACTGCTACTTACTATATACTTACTACTTACTACTTGATACTTCCTACTTCCTACTTCTACTACTACTACTACTACTGCTACTGCTTCTGCTACTGCTACTGCTACTACTGCTACTCCTACTACTACTACTACTACTACTACTACTCCTACTGCTGCTGCTGCTGCTGCTACTGCTACTGCTACTGCTAAGGGGTTGAGTCTATAATTAATAGTATGTAAATATACTTGAGGCCAAGGGGGGGGCGAAAGCTAGCGCTCCAGAATGGGAAAGTGGAGGGCAGCGAGGTAGGAAAAAACATGGTGCTCTTTTTGGAGGCAGTCAAGGAGACGTCGCGGTGGCATCGCAAAGATCCACCTGCAGAGCGGACTGTCGGAAGTCTGCGGGGAGGGTTGTCAGAGGCTGCAGAGCGAGTGCGGCCGCAAGATACGCAACGCTAACCGCATGCCAAAGAGCGACGACAGGACGGAGTCGAACGTGCGAAGAGGGAGGAGGGAAACGATTCCAGGTGAAGAGTCCTATGTGGCTCTTTGCCCGGATCCTCCTGAGAGAGAAGAGAGAGAAGAGAGACGGAAAGACGAGAGACAGAAGAGAGGAGAGAGAGAGAGAGAGGAGAGAGAGATGAGAGAGAGATGAGAAAGAGATGAGGGAGAGATGAGAGAGATGAGAGAGAGATGAAAGAGAGATGAGAGAGATGAGAGAGAGAGAGAGAGAGATGAGAAAGAGATGAGGGAGAGATGAGAGAGATGAGAGAGAGATGAAAGAGAGATGAGAGAGATGAGAGAGAGAGAGAGACAGTGAGAGTGAGAGTGAGACTGAGACTGAGAGTGAGAGTGAGAGAGTGAGAGGGAGGGGGGGGGCGGGGGTTTCGACCTGAAAAATCAGGGGTTAGGATTTGCACCCGGTCGAAAGAAACCTTGCTATCGCAAGAGTAACTCCAGCTAGCTTCGCTAGCTTTCGTGATATATATATATATACACACACACATCCAGAGAAAAGGATCACGCCGAGGCTAGCGCTCTGCCACATGAGCGAGTCTCACAGAGCTCAGGCACTCAACTCGACCATCCGGGAAAAAAAGACTGGAGATGGTAAAGCGCTGCACGATGCTCTTTTGCAAAAATGATGGGTGAAGCAAGCTATAAGAGGCACTTCCAAAAGTGCTGCACCTTGTGACAGGCGCTCAAGCTTGCATGTGATGCCTGTGATGCACGCATTTTTGCGTCTAAACCACAAAAATTGTATGACCTTTGTGAGACGATGTCTGACGACTCATTCATCGGCGGTGCCTTGCACATCGGTATTTGAACAAACCACTCCTTGCCGCGTCTGCTCAACCCCCACCTTGCCGCAGCATGTTCATTTCGTGGTCCAGAGTGACTATTCGCATCCCATCCTCCACAAGCGACCGATCCACGTCGATCTTCGGGAATCCAAAAAACACCGTACCGTGCATAAAGAACCAGAACAAAAGAAAAACGGATCCCCAAACCGACAAACGCGTCGCACTCCTTGACCGGAGTGTAACAGGTCTTGACGCGCTTGCCTTGGTGCAGTGCCTGGCGGGTCCCAGGTGTGCGGTGCACGCCGACGCGGTTCCGGGCCGGTGCCCAAACACCCGACTCCCACGAGTCGCGCTCCTCGCAGGCGCCACAAATGCCGGCGCGGCCTGAAGCGGCTCTGCGGTGCGGCACGGCGGTGCGGCACGGCAGCTCGAACAAAGGATCATCTTGGTTTGTTAGTGAAAAAAGAAACATGAGTTGGATTTCGGTGTTCCTTGGACCCATTCGACAGGTACATTGGTACATTGGGTCTTTGGTGAATTTCACACACTCCACATGGACACGGTCGCGGAGGTTTCTGTGAACTCTCCGTCCACGTCAACCTCCGGGAACATGTGCGGGCGCGTGTCACTTATCGGACCCTTGGCAGGAGATGATTCTCTGCGTGGGGTCCAGTCCAGCCCAAAAACTCAACTTGGAGACCGAAGACTCTGACCCACATGAACAGAAGTACCAGGGGAAACGGAGGCTCGAGGTCGTTTTATGACCCACGGTCAGCTCGAGGTGTCAGCTCCGGTGCGTCTTCTCTTTGAGGCGTCTTCCGGGCCCGGTGTCTGCTCTGGGCGCTCCGTGCAGTTGAAGGGGATGCGCATCGCGAAGTCTTTGATGGAGGACTCAGTCAACGAAGTCTGGCGAAGTCTTGGAGAAAAACGAAGAAATCTGCCTCGAGAATGGTCTGCTGCGAGAAAACCATCTTGGTCTCGTTGTTGATTTGGACCTGGACATGTACAGCGCTTGCAGATGCTTGCAGCAACGCGGCACAGCACTCTCCCACCAAGCCATGCATGAGATGAAGGGATTTACAGCCGCAAGACTTGCCACTCTTTTGCTCCGCGGGATCACACCGGTCCCCAGCTCTCTTTGCCTCAAGGCACAAACCGCTCCGGTCGCCCCAAAAACAACGGCTCCGGTCCGGCTTCTCCTCACGCAAGATCTCCGCGCTCCACCACCGACGCGCCGTCCGCGCAGTCCGGGTGGGAACGCCCCCGGGTGGGGTCGGAGGAGGACTCAGCGGCGCCTCCGTTTGGCGTTCACCGCACCTGCACAGAGCCGGTGAAAGTGCACAGCTCATGGCACAGTGGATTTGGGTGAAAGAGCAACAACCCCTCCAATCTCTCCCCGAACATGTGAAGTGGAATTGTCTTCCCGAAAGCCGCACCGTCTCCCCTTCCTCAGGTGGTCCCCGGTCTCGATCGAACTTCGGACGGCCCCGGTCGCGCCCCAACCTGAGCGCTTCGATCGCTTTGCCCCTTGGAGGGCTGAAGCCACCGATTCCTTGAGCCCTTTGGCTCGCGTCTTGGCCTGCCGGGTCTGCGCCCAGGGCGCTGCGAAGTGAATCATGTGAAATCATATGTGAAATCCATGAACGGAGAGGTCTGAGTCTGGAAGTGCCTGAAAATGCGCTCCGTGCAAAAAAAAATACCTCTATATGAGAAACTGGACTCTCGGGATCTGGCCTCTTCGTACTCTTGCAAAACTCCTTTGCGACGTGTCAGAGATGCGAAACTCCTTTGCGTTTCGGAGGTGCGTTTCGAGTCTGTCGAGGTGAAGAAGCGAAGCGGCCTTTGCCCTTTCCAGCTCCTGCAGGAACAGACAACGAGTTTGAAATGCAAGGCAGCGCGGGACTCCTCGCATGATCTCACCAAAGTCCGAGGCAACCTAGGCCAAAACAACTCAAAAAAAGTGTTTGCTTGACAGACAAGCTTCGTCGTGCATTTGGTTTCCTTCGTTGGGCCCTGTTTCCAAGGGGCTGGCATCAAAGAGAGACACGGCACCACCAGATGTTGCATGCCCTTCCCTGGCACCACTAAGCTCGCAAACAATCTAAACATATCCAAACGACATCAAACGACGCATTGCTCACTTCACAGCAGGGCCCTCACGACCGCCTCGCCCGAAACGCTCCGGAACAGCGCCACATGCCTCAAAGCTTGCTTCTGTCGCCGCAGCTCGGCCTCTGAAGACGGTCTCTTCGTCGCTTGAGACGGACTGAGGACGGCCGGCGGCCCCTTCTGTATAGCCAGGTTGTGCCTTCTTGACTTTGACACGCTGCATGGTGTCCTCTTCGAACCTGAGACAACTTTCTTCCTTTTCTCCTTCTCCTTCTGCTTCTGCTTCTCCTTCCCCTTCCTCTTCTTCTAATTATTATGGTATTATTATTCTTATTCTTCTTATTATTATTCCTTCTTTTTATGTCAAGTCGGAATAAAAACAAAAAAAGAGCCAACTCCGCCGGTCCTGTTTTCTCTGAGGCTGCTGCTCTTGCTGTTCCCGAAGCATGCGAGTGGCTTTCTCCACACCTGAGCCGTGGAGCGGTCGCAAAGCTTAGGATCCTTGGGGTTCTCAAACCAAGCATGGGTCAAAACTGTGAGGACCTTGACCACCAAAAATGAACAGAATAGACTACAAGGCAGGTCAACCCACCAGGGTTTGGAGCTCCAGGTTCTGACCCACAGCCATGTTAATGTCGTGACCCCAGGGAAGCAACTGCTGGAGAACTTGGAGATGGCAAAGTTGGGACATCGACCAGAGGTGAGTTCCGAGCTTTTGGACATCCTGGACGACTGCTTCGAGAAGCACCAAACGGTTTCTGCGGTGAAGAAACTGGGCCCCCCACGTGCGGACCGCTCCTCCGCCATGATCTCTCGCGGAGCATCAGTAAACTCCTCACAGTAAAACCATGTAAAACCAATATATTTTAGACGGTTGACAAAGAGGTTGTTCAATCCAAGTGGGATGGTCTTATGAACCAGCAGTCTACACTAAGAAGGGTCTGTGCTGTTTTTGTCGGTATCAATCTGTGGTTTCCCGGACGACCCACTTGTGCCAAACAAGACAACAAAGCCTATCCCACAGGTTTTCGCACAAAGAACGTCCCCAGCACCAGCCTCACGCAAACTGCGCATAAACTCACTTCGTTCCAGTCGGGCCTCGATCGTGTTCTTTGAAATACAAACGGACTTGGCTCTCGTGCGTCGCGCTGAAAAATTGTTTCAGCCACAAAAGTACTCAAGCCCCGCTTTGCCGTGGTTCGGCCTTCTTTCTGTCCAGTTCTTTCTCTGCGCGTTCCTGGGCCACGAGAACGGCGCCCTCTCGCATGGCAAAAAGACCGAAAGACACACTGCCCACACCCAAAGCTCCAACTTCCAAACAGTCCTGCATAGAGATGTGATCTCCAGTGTACTCCACCTGGCCATTTTCTGCGATTTTTCTGGCAAACGGTACAAGTGCACACGAGGTGGCAAAATACAAAAAAAACAAAAAGGAAAAACGATGTACACCCTCTCATCTCTTTTCATGTCTCTCCTGTCTTCCATTCTTCCAAAACAAAAACATTGCCTGGGAGATCTTGGGCGGCTTGTACGCTCCCAAGTGGCCCTCCTCGTCCTTAGGGGCCGAGGCAAGTTCCTCCGCCTCCTGGGCGTCCTCGCGGGCAAAACACGAAGAGAAACTCAGGAGGTTTGACAAGTTGTGAAGCAAAGAACCTGGCAGACTCAATGTCTAAAACTAGGGATGGAAGTTGAAAGCCGACTGCTTAAGTATGTGTAAGTCACTAAATCTATCTATATGTACGTATAGACTGTTGGTATATGTTAATATACCATGGACCATATACCAAAATATTCCACACTACAAAGTTCTCAAAATTTTCAAAAGCCATCGAAAAGATTGCTTGCACATCTTGGATCTGAATCGTTTTGGCTATCAAAACAACCGGTGACCTCTGGCTCTTTTGAAAGCCAAAGCTAGATTGGACACCCAAACTCCACACTTCATTACTTTTCCACTTGCACATGAAGGTGTGCACAACACGGTTCGGTTTTTGAGCGCTGCTGTACTCAACATGCCAACGCGTTGCGGATTCACAGGTGCACATGATCAGCTCAAACAAATTCCGCGCTTCGTTAATTTTCCACTTGCGTGTGATGGTGTACCAGCAAAATGAACATGCCAAACACTTGAAGGAATTCTCGCTTTCACGCGCGTGGAAGCTCGGTGCAAAAGCTCAGGAGGCAGCTCGCAGACGACAACAACAACAACAAGATCATCATCTCGCGTTTGTCAGGTCTAGGAATGCTCAGGTATGAAATGGCAGCAACCTCTTGGGCGCAAGCGCCTATCACACGATAGCTGGCCCAACGGCCTCTCCTCATCACAAGGTCACAACTTCAGTTATCTGAATTAAAAGAATAGCGCCTGGAGGCTGCCCAAATCGAGAGCCTTAACGTCTTCGTAAGTAGCCAGCGGCAGCTATAACGCTTGCGCCACCGAGCGGAAGGAGGTTCTCAAAGTCTGGCTGCTCGTGTCCCACAACTTTTCTGACGGCCTCAGGTCCTTGAAGGCAATTTCGGTAACTTGAATGAATCATATCGGGGATGCCCAGCTTTGAGCGTGGACACCGAGCCGCGGTGAACCTCATCTCCTGATCAAGCATGCCAGTACAACAAAAGGGGCTGTAAAGCCATTCTCCTCTCCGCGCATTTGTCGACTCACCTACCCCCAAAAACGCCACCAAGCCAAAGCAACGCATCCTGCAAGTCCAGATCCACCCCGCAAAAACAGCAGAGCAAAAAAAAAAGGTTCTTCCAGCTTGAGATGGAGGGAGTTGATGGTCTCCGAGAAGTAGTTGAGCAGGTGCCTGACCTGGTAGAGTTCTCGACCACAAGCAGGTGAGGATGGCATTTATCTTCTCAATGCAAGTCCAGGAGAGTGCCGGAGGAGAGAGCAAAACCCAAAAGAGAGAGAAGCAAAACAAACTCCTCGCCAGGTCCTGTCGAAGACCAGTCCGACTAGACAAGGCTTCGTCGTGACTTGGTGCCTGTTTCCCACAAAAACCCAAAAGGTTTTGATTTTGCAGTTTCGGGCGGCGTTAGAAGCACTTGCAATTCGGCAGAAAGAGCGCCCATGTGGGAGAACCCATGGAACGGGTGGGCGGGAGATTCCGGCTTCAAAACCAAGCAGACTCATTAGCCACACCAGAATCGTGGGGAACAAATCGCAAATTTCGAGACAGCCAAACCAGCGACTTCTGCTGCTATTAGCGTGAAAAAAGCAACAGGCGCTTTGTAGATTGCAATTTTTCATGGGCCACACACGCCTGCACACACGTCACGTTCAAGAGTATAAAGAAACTGTTTTATTCAAGCGACATCTTAAGATCTTTCCTTTTCTATCCCTCGGAGGCCTCGAAGAGTTCATACGTTTCAACCGTTGCTGCAGGAATTCCAGCCAGAGCTGGCGCTGGGCAAGTCTGACTGCATCTTCTGGGGGAGCCGGCAGAGGTGGTTGCCCCTAGCTTCGAAATCTATCAGTGGCCGGCTGCCAAGGGTGGTCAACGCAAGCAGCAGGTCTGGCAGCCTCGGAGGGAAATGCCACCACCTGCTCTGCCGGGGCTTGGCCTCCAGCTAGGACCACCAAAGACCTTAGTTTCTCAAGGCACAGATCTCACTCTGCATCACTTGATAGGCAAGTCTACTAAGTTCTACAGTCTCTGGGTTGACGCTCATCTTGTTCGGTTGAAGCTAGAGAAGCCTTGGAGCCGATTCACAGTCCTTGATGGCGAGGTGAAATCCAAGCTCGAAAGTTCGGAGAGTGCCAAAGAGCGAGGAGGCAGAGAAGGAAGAAGAAAGGACCAAAGGAGCCACGATCGAGGAGTGACAATGGGGCGGACAGGCAGGAAATGCCGTGGCCTGCACAACCGAGGTGATGAAGCTTGAGAACGTGTTGCGGATTCGCAGACACACATCAATCAATCACTCTGAAACAAAGGAAGCAACGGTTGCTTCATGGATAATTATCCGATCATATACATACATATATGAAAAACTGCTTGAACAAAAACGTGGTGGAGGGTGAAACACACCAAACCATGTATATATATACATATACTTCACTTCACTTCACTGCGCCTTCGCAGCTCCATCTCTGCCGCACCTTAGTGAAACCTAGCTCCACGGCGAGGATATATACATATACACACATATAGTTAAAAAAAGAGTTCTTTAAGTATATATCGCATTATATATATATATATGTTGCATATGCATGTTGTTGGTTTGTCTTGCTCTGCGCAAGATTGTTACGACTCACCGATTTGAGTTCTTCCACCCGGCCGTGGCCATTCCCACGGCCTCGGCATCTTCATCCTGCACTGATGCCACCAGCTGACCAGGCCGCAATGCCTCGGTGTGAAGGAATCCGAAAGCATCAGATCTCGAAATGTTCTGAATTCTTCAAAAAGCTTTCCCATGAGAGGTAGAAGTCCACAAAGAGAGAGAGAGAGAGACAGAGAGAGAGAAAGCAAAAAAACAGGTTCAACATTGAGATCTCCTTCATTGAAACCTGCGACCCCGTGTCCAACGCTCGGGTGGCGGACATGAGCATCCGTCGATCCTGGTGCCACAGGCGCGATCGCCACGCTGCGCGCCAGCGATCGCCACGACATCGCGCTGTGGTCTCAGGAGAACATCGTTCGCCCCAGTGGAGGCAAACGATTCGATGCCCCGCCCTTGTAAACAAAGAACTTCCGCAAACCCAAAGGAGCGAGCTTTCGTGAGAATTCGTTCTTCTCCCATTCCAAAAATTTGAAACACTGTTGCAGTTGTTGCTTCATGGCCTCACGAGGAAAAGAGCGTTCAAACCCAGAACAAAGGAGTAGCTGCAGGCTGAGTAAACTGGAGGTCTGCTCCTGCAAGCTGCTCCGCGGCTTTGGCATCTTTCCACTGCAAGAGTTTGTTCATCTGATACCTCAGACCAATAAGAAGGATGTTTCAGGATGTCTGATGAGTGATAGACTACGCTCATGAAATGAGTTCACTCGAACCCGGCGCCTATTTTGCCCTGTTTGACCTGACAACGCAGCGCACCCCTGGACCGAGTCGGATGGACGGAGACTTTGGACCGCGCCCGTTCTTCGCCCAGCGACTGCAGGCGTTGATCCACGGGCTTCAGCTTCTCAATGAGCGTTCGGATCCACAGCAAGCGCAGCCTGGTAAACAAGACGCAGGACGTGCAGGGCGAGTACGCCGTAGGACCTGTAGAACCACAGGTGTCACAGGAGCCTTTGGTATTGAAATCAATTGCTGATGATTGATCAGAGCTCGCAAAGAGATCAAAAACACAGCTCATGGCCTAATGTTTTTATGCCAAATGTCCTTTAACCGAAGGTCACTTGCCGAAGCATCCGGTCTCCTTCGCCCGGTCGGTCCTCGGTCTCTGAGGCTCGGGCACCACGGGGTGGTCTCGCAGCGAAACACCTGCGTCGCCGCGTCGCCGTTCGAGACCGACCGAAGGCGGAACGACCGCGGAGCAGCGGTGCTCGGCCTTTGACCTTGAGCAAAAGATAGTAAGTCAAAGAGATCAAGTAGCTCAGCAGCAGCTGAACCTGGGGAGGCCAAGGCGGCAAGGGGAAGGACAAAGGGCAGGACAAAGTTCAAGAGGATGAGAATTGAGTTTCGACGTTTGCACTTGCAGTGCTGATGAGGACTCTTGCTGCTGTCACACATCACTGGTTGTGGTCCACCTCTAGAAATAGAGTTATCATTATCATTTATTGTCATTTATCTTTTCAAGGGTGTGATTTGTGGGTGTACAATGCCACCCTGTGGCAATTTTGGCCATCCCCCAGAATCGTGTTCCTCAGTGATCTTCAGTGATGTTCACTCAAAAAAATGTTTGTTTTTTCGCGACGAACATGTCGGTTCTTCCCAAATTGACGAACTTCAACCACCACCAGCAGCATCTCGCGGGTGGCAAGGCCAACCAAACGGTCGGCAAGAATGACCGCTCCCAGACTTCTCACCAACTTGTACGGCCAAACCAGGCGAGACTAAGCACATCTAAGCACATCCAGATCAGACTGGCCTTCATCTCTACATACGAGGCAGGCGCTTTGGAAGCCTCTCCACCAACTCAGAAAAATGGTGCCAGCAACACGGTGGCAGTCACATGTTCCAAAAGAGGAAAACAACAGGTTTGCCATGGTTTGCCCTTACCTGTCCTTTCTCATTCTTCCACTGGCCAAAATGAACAGCAAGTGCCTTTCGAGGCTGGTTGGCCCGTTGGACGCATTTCTCCTCCAAAACAGCAGCCTGAGGTGTCAGAATGTCAGGAGAAAAACACAAACTGCGAAAACAAATTTGATATTTTAGACAAATCCTGAAAACAAGTCGCAAATGCCTCACATGACAGCTGCAATTATGGCAGGACGCTGGAATTTCTGTCGTGACTGGGTGTGCAGATCTGAGTCAAGTTGCATCTTTCTGCAGTGTGGTCAGCTTCTTCCGCATGTCTTTCAAGGCCTTGGCAGCAGGGCGGGCTCTCGACTTGGAGATGGTGATTGGTCAAACATGTCCAAATGATTGATCCCTGAAGCCTGAATCCATCCAAAATTGCAAAAAGAAATGATGACCCTCAATTATGCTATCTCATCAAATCATCAGAAATTGGAGTCAATCGTCATACCAGGGAACGTTGGCCTTCGGCCTTCGGTCTACGTCTTGGGGAACCCGTGCTTGCAGCAACTCGGTGCATTCGGTCGAACTCACTGAGCAATCTGGGTCCTGTCGATGCGAGACGTGTCGCGGTGAGACCGAGCCAACGACCCGGGGCCGAAGGAGGAACCGTGGAGTCCCTTTCTTCGGGGTCTGAGAGAAACCGTGGAGGGGGGAGCATCTTAGGACGTTTTAAAAGGTCTCCAGCTGTTCTTTGAAGTGGATCACTCCTCTTTTCGGGGTCAAGACTCCCAAGTATGGTCTTTTCATGTCTGGTCAAAGGGGGATCACCTTGAGCTTTCGTTGCCAGAGATCTCCCAGCTGTTTGCACCTCAACCCTTTGGACCTCCAGTTCCGGGGATCTTCGCTTCGGCCTTCGCGGCCTTCGCTTCGGCTTTGCGCGCGTGGAAACGCGCCGCGCCCTGGCCTTGTCGCAATGGAAATGGAAGTCCAGCTGAGCCAGGAGCTCATGGGCCTTTTCCTGTGAAGAACCCAAATTCCTGTTCTTCTTCGATGTGTGACGTTCTTTTTTCATGCGATGCCCACACAAAAGCATGCAAAGACATTCGGATGCCAAGTGGTCTTGCATCGTTTGTTGAACAACAAGTCGCACCACAAACGGACCGGCCCCATGCGACCTCTCTGGGATCCCCCTCCGGGTACGGTGCGAAAATCACACCCCCGGCCTCAACGGAAAACCCAGCACTCTCCGCGCTCTCCGCGCTCTGCTTGGAGGCTTTTTGATCCAGAAGCCTTGAACCATCGAAGCAACCCATCTGACGGGTCTGAGAGAGCTGGCTTGGCCAAACAAAGTGCACCATTCTGTATCAGAACCTGTTTGCTACAGCTCTTTCAGTGGGAAAAAAGGTTCTCAAAAAGGATCAAAAAGGTGTCTCCTGCCCTGGAGGTTGGAGCAAACAACTGGAAACGAAAGAAGTTGTTTGGACAAGAGAAGTTATGTCAGTGAGATTCTGGACTGTGGTAGTTGTTACCAAACTTTCGTCCTCTTGAATGCCTTTCCGGTTCGACTTTGCCACAATTTGTCAAACAAAATGAAGTCCTATGGTAGTTTATGGAGGAAAAGGCTTGAAATGCATGATTCTAACAAGGCACTCCTTTGGACTTCAGAGAACCACCGTCCGGGACGCACGGGCGGCAGGACAAAGGTGGGTCACGAGCCTGTACTGTACATGACCGGGGATGTTCGGGGTGGAAACCGGCGGAATTCCATGGAGAAGTCTGAGAAGTCATGTCAGTGAGAGTCTCGAGTGTAGTGGTTACTAGTATCCGAACGGACCTTGTCCTCTTGAAGTAATTTTTCGCATGCATGGATTGCGGAATGTACACGACGCACCCATCTTCCTCTTCTACGAACCTGAAAGCAACTCCGTTTGAAGAGGAACAAAAACAGGCCTCGTGCTTCGTCGCTTGGCAGCGCGAACCATGTGGTTATGTCCACAGTGACATGGTCCAAATCCAAGCACCTGAAGCCTGAAACCCATTTTGCCTCGTGGAGATTCGTGGAGTCTGTCTTTCTCTGCTCTGGCTGTGAACATTGGCGAGCAAATTTGGACCCAAACTGGAATGCTGAGCTCAACAAAGCATTTGACAGCTCAGCTGTGCGGAGCTTTTTGCAGAGTGGGGAGACGATGAGATTCTGTTCCGCCGGACAAAGCACTGAAACTCGCTTTCATGGTCTCTGTTGTTTGTCAAATGGTCTGCTAAGCAAAGCACCTTGGTTGTGTGAGCCAAAAGGTCTCACCACAACACGCGTTGTCGTGAGTCAGTCATGAGTATCAACTCCATTCAAATCCAAGCAACATGCAGGTGGCTCAAGGTAGCTAAAAGCTTTAAAAATAAGGTCCCCAAGTCGCCAAATCCATCCAAATCCTCTGAAAAAGGGATGTTTCACTGAAAGGCTAGAGGTGTTTCACTCTCAAAAGGAAGAGAGAGAGAGAGAGAGAGAGTCTCACATCGGTCCATCACGACGGGCCTTGACCTGCCTCGGGGGGATCTTCTTGAGCTGCGCCTCACCGGAAGACCGGAGTGGACGCACTGAGTGAAGCGAAGCGTCAAGCGACACCAACACGAGTGAACCGAGCAGTTTGGGGGAAAGGAGCGACTTTGGGAGCGCAAGTCTACTCCAGCCTGCATCGCGGCCCGCTTGGGATATTTCAGCAAGGCTATTTTCATCTTGTTCGCCTCAGCGAAAAGCGGCCCAAGAATCCAAGAATGCACCCGCTGGAACATCTGTTTGCCAAAGTTCCTCTCCGTGGTTTCGGGCATCAACTTTCTGGTCGTATCAATGTCTATAATCCCAACATGGCGAATCATGCGCCAAAGCCACAACCCATCATGACGAATGACCACGGTGGACCGCATCAACTAGGCCGTGGGCGGTTTCCGTCGACGACATGGCGGGCAATCTCCGTTCAATCCGTTCCAACGAGTCCTGTGGCTCCAGGTTTTGGGCAACAAGTTCTGGACGGTGTGGCTTGTGATCGTGGCCTCCATATCTTTTGGTGGGACCTTGTGAATCATGACATGGCTGGGAAATTCGATGAACTTTTTAAGAGAATGGATGCCCGGGACAAAAAAGAAAACGTTGCGTTTGGCACCAATGTACATATTCTGTCCAGAAATGGACCCTTTTTGGCTCTTCAATGGAAACCCCATCTTGGAGCTCTTCGGAAAGCTTTTCCTTCAACGCTTTTATTCATGGCATGTTGGAAAATAGAACCTGAACGACAGGGTGGCCCGAAAGTACTGTGGGAGTTGACACAAGGTAACGATGTTGATGGCGACCACGCTGATGATTGTGATAACAATGCTGATGGGCACAATGGCGCTAACGCAAACATAAAGTAGGCGTGACATGACATGATAGCTTCAATGTACTTGTGGGGCACTCACGTCAACACGTTTGCAGGGGATCTCTTGTAGTGTTGTGGGACGCTCTTGTGAGGCCCCTTGTGGTGCATTCTTGTGGGGCACTCTTGTAACACACTCCTGCTTGACATTTGTGAGACAGTTGCAAGGACACTCTTGTAGGCACTCTTCTGGGACTCTCTTGGATAACATTCTTGCTGGCCACTCTGGTAGGACACTCTTCTGGAAAACCGCCACGTCACTGTGACACGCCATGCTTACACACGCATGTGTCCGACTCCCTGACGGCACGAGCCACACAAACACACTTTCCACCGAGGCCGCAAAAAACTGCATGGCACAGCCACACCACAAACGCGATTTCAACACACTGTGCACAACATGCAGCCTCGTTGACACTGCCAGTCATCCTGCTCAGAAATGATGCGACTGCTACAACATAAAGGTGTTTGGATACAGGTGTCGAGATACAGGTGTAGAGATACAGGCATGGAGATACTGGTGAAGACACCGAAGACACCTACAATTGTTACAAAAGCCACCTATATACACGACTACAACTTTGCGATCTTTCTACTCTTCCTTTAAGGTGGCGAAGATGGCCCGGCCAATGCTCCGGGAACGCGACCCTTTGCGCAGATCGCGCGCGTCGGGCCAGCGAAACTCTGGTCAAGCGCAAATGGTCTTGGGCCTGGGAGGACCCTCTGCGGGGTTCGCGCGGGGGTTCGCGCGCACGCGCGTTGCGCGAAACTGTGGCAATATGCAAATCGTCTTGATGAACCCTTTGCCACGATCTATTTCGCCCGGGCCCCCGTCCTCGCACTGTCTGGCACGGCTCGCGCCAAGCCTGTAAGCAGCTTCGACTTGAGCATGAATGGCAGCAGCAGCAGCAGCAGCAGGATCTCCGAGCCTGTCTTTCCTGTAGCTCAATGAGAACGGGTCGACTGTCAAGTAGACTGTCACATGGACGATTAGACTCTCGGTTCGAAACAGTCCTATCTACCCGCGCTGACCCGGTGACCCATGCAGTCCGCTCTCTCTTCGCCACCAACGAGTCGAGTCCGGACAACGGAGCGACGGGCCTAGTGCCAGGACGTAAGTAAGGAAAGGATGCAACTACAACCATACCTGCCCTTCTTTTCCAATCTTGCTCCAGCGCTGAGAGGCTGATGGAGTGCTCAAGAGCGCCACAGGAGTCACATGGTCATTATCTGGCTGTGGGTCATTATCTGGCCACGCAAAGAACATCAGTATCACAGTGAAGACTGATTGGTTCCTATCTATTTCATACTTCTTTGCAAGAACCAGCACAGCGGATTCCGCGCCACCCGTGATGAAGCGGCGCTTTCAGACCGTGATGAAGCGCCGTCCGGACGTCTCAGACGTCACCGAACGCTCAATCATCCCGCAGCTCCAGCCCTTCGAGCAGCTCTGCAAGAGGCACCTCCGCTTCGCGCGACGTCGCGCGCGACGCCGCGACGCGTCGCAGACGTCCCCGAAGGGTTGCGAGTCTCGTCCCGGAAGGGCCGTCAGCTCGCTGTGACGGGTCGAGTTGGGGGCGTGTGGTCGAAAAATTAGACGCCCCCGAATGGCGACGCTAGATGGAAAGAATTTGAAAGAATATATAAAGACATTGTCGTAAGTTTATTTGCTTGTTTCATTGTGATTCCAAAGGTCAAGGAGCGCACGGAAATGGAAGGTAATGTTTAGCCCTTGCTCCTGCACTACTGGCCGCAGAAACTTCCTGGCCTCTGGAGCATCGGAATCATTGTCCTCTCAGCACAGCCAAGAATCAGACAAATACCCAAGCAGCCAAGCACAACTGCGTTCCTCATCCTCACCATCAGGGTCATCCTCCTGCCAGGGTGGACATGAAGTTCCACAGAACTGGACAAAGAACAAAATTGAAACGTGAGATGGTTGCTTTCTTATCTGTGTGTGTGTGTCCTCTCAAGCTCCATTGTCTTCCAACTCCAAGTCACAAAGACAACCCCACCCACCACCACATCGCCTTCTTCGTCTCGTCCTTCTTCGCCTCCGGTCCAGGCGTCCTGGCCGCGAACGGCACCGTCGGCTCAGAGCCTCCGCCTCGTCCGCGCGGCGGCGTCCTGTACATGTTGACGCCTTTCCGGAGCTCTGGATCTTCTTCCAAGTCACGCTTCAAGGCCTCACAACATGTTCGGTCCAGAAGTGGTTTAGATTCCAGAGGGGAAGGGGTGAAAACCTCCCATTTCAGGAATGGTCCCGAATCGATAGTGGCTTTTCTGCGATGATCTCAGTGAATTCCTGAAAATCTTCTCCACCGGCATCAGCACCCGAGCAGGGCGCGGTGTGGGGCCAAACATGGTATTCCCGAAGCTCTTGAAGTCGCAATTGAAAACAGCGGGAAAACTGCACATCTTTCTGACCATGTTTTTCGCAGTGAGACGCCTCTGTCCCGCCTCCATGTCAGCATCATCGTCGATGGGATCTTCACCTTCAACGGTTTCTTTGTTCAACCTCCTTAGATCCCACCTGGCAAAAGCGTGGCGTGGGACGTGTTCCATAACCATTTGAGAACTGCTTCACAAACGGATGCATGTTTTGCATCGGGCTTGCAGAACTCAACTAAGGCCCAAACGCTCTCTTCTTGTTTCGCTTGTAGACCTGCAGGCTTCGTTCATGTCTTCAGAATATCGAGCAAGAACAGGGGAGTGGGAACCAGCCATGAATCCAGTTCAGGTTCGGATGATCACTTCGCAACATCCAAGAACACGATATTTAATCGAATTATAATTATAGAATCGAATCAACTGAGACCTGAAACCCGTCAACTGATCAGGCCTTCTTCACTAAGACCACGTCAGTGCCAGGGCCCTGACGGTCATTGGCGACCACTCGGCTCAAGCTCTTGTGCCCCCAACGCGTCGCGGGGCGACAGCTATGGCCTTCAAGGCCTCGTCTGAGAGCCCGCTGACCTGAGTTTGGCCAAAACGACCAGAGGAAGCGGGATCAGCTCTTTCGATGCTTCTGATGCTCGGCTTCGATGCGCCCCTGGTCCCATTGTACACCTCCTCACCGTGTGGCCGAGGCGCATTCACCGTGCGCAGGTCATAGCCCATGACGCGGCCACCTGGCCTGGCCAGCGATGAAGACACGACGCCCAGGGGTCCCCAATGAATGGGCGCCCCTCAGGGAGGTCCCATGCTCCACCAACCAGAGTTGACACTCGTTCGGGCGCGCAACGCTCCGCACCGTTACGCACCCCTTGCCCACAAAGCGGGTGTGGTAGGGAGGCGTTGTGGAGCTTCAAATGTTCACCCATATCAGGGCCATATCTACACGTGGCTTGGCATCTGGATACCAAATGGAGGAAAACTCCGGAAAAACACAGAAAAAACAAAAAGCACCCCCCACCAATTGCAAACTAGTTCTTTTCGCGGCTCGGCGCGCGCAAAGCCAGTCGTTCGTCGCCTGAGAAATTGACCCAGATGGCTCCGGACAATCACACGGTCGTCGTTGACACCCAGGTCGCAGGCACGGGCGACCTGTGCACGGAGCCAACGGCCCCCGTCTTTTGTTCGGGGAGCCCAAAAAAAATGGATTTCGGGCGCGGTGCCCGTTTGGGGAGCGGTCCCAAGCAGCAGAAACAGGGTGATAACATCTTAGTTTAAACCCCTTGAAACCGATGTTCTCGACCCAAATCTGACCAATCACCGCCAATCTCTGGGATATCTTTTACGGTTCAAGATCGACCGTGTGTTGTTGAAACTTTTTCTCTGTGGACCAACCACAACGCAGAACAACGCATGCCAACCAGCTTCATAACATCGTTTTCTTCGTTTGCCTCCACATCAGCCAAGGTCATCTTTCCTCGTGCTGGGAGGTTGTGTCTGGCAGCGCTGCCGGCCTCGCGATAGAAACTCGACAGAAACATACAGAAACCCTTGTCAGAGACGCAGTTAGACTGCCCCATGCTCAAATAAATATCCGCCGACCCCTGCCTAGCTGACGCCTAGGCGGGGCGGCGCCGGGGACACCGCAGGGTGAAACAGTTGCCCAGGCCAAGCAGATCCAGAGCGTTTCGCCGTGGCGCCGCCGCTGCCTTTTTGCGCCCAGGCCGGAAACCCTCCGCTGCGACACTAGCCTGCAGGCTTTTGGAACGTGCCAGGCAACTGTTCTATGGGCTCCCGAAGGCAACGTGCCAGGCGACGTGCCAGGCGACGTGCCAGGCAACGTTAGGCATTTTGGCTGGCTGCACCCCCCCCTCGTTCCGACTGCTGTCGCGGGCAGAAATAGATGGCGTCGTTCGCCTACCCGGAAACTCTCCGCTGCGGCTGCATTCTGCCTATACGCACACCTCAGCCGATGGAGTTCTTCCATTCCGTCCTCTCCGTTCCTCCCGGCAGCGGGCCGTTGGCGTCGAAGCCCAGATCGCTCACAGCAATCGTGGTGGCTATCCTGCTCGTACAGCAAGCGCGAGGCACCGTGGAATGAGCTAAATTCTTATCTATCTATATATCTATCTATCTATCTACCTACCTATCTATCTATCTATCTGCGACTTGCTTCAACAGTCCTTGCTGCGGACAAAAATTCGTCCACTTGCCGACCTGACATGACAGTGCATCCATCGTCTCTATCCGACAAAGTCGTCTGCGAAGAAACTGGAGGAAAACATCAGCCGCTGGCCCTTGATGGCATGTACGAGCTTGACAAAGCATCACCAACGATTTCTGATTTGCGCCAAATGTGGACACATGGTCATGGGATGCGCGCTGCATTCCTACAAGCACAAAGCATTAAATGCATTTTTGCCGACCGTCTCATGAGCCTCACTCGCCACCTAGGCCATTTCCATCCAATCGACACGCACTCCATGGTTGAATTGCCGCATTTCTATGGTCCTGGGCTTGACCTTCACTGGTCACCGTATCGCATCCAAGCCGTGATTTGTCACTTAGGATCGAGCTTGTCAGGCCACTTCAGAGCAGTCCTGAGGTATGATGAGCACTGGCTGCTATGCCAGGACAACGAAACCCCGAGGCTCACCAAAGAGCTACCAAAATGGTGCACGGAGAGATCAGTTCTCTTCTGGCTCATTCCTGTCGCTGAGGCGATGCCCTCTCAGACTGAGGCAACCAGTGATTCCGAGCTTATGTGACCCCTCACGCCACTCCAGCACCTTGGAGATGCAACCGCAGGACCTGAAGAGGCACCATCCTGTCAGGGTGCTCTAAGCCGGGTCTTACGAGGTGTCTTGGGTAGAGCCTTGGATGATAGCAGCGAGCGGCGACTGGCGTGAAGGATGCCTGCGGCTGCTTCAAGCTGCTGCTCTGAACCAGCGCCGGCTGAGCGCTGCACCATGAGCCTAGCTGCTGCTGCGGCCTTGGCAACTGCGGCTCCTGAGAGACTTTCCTTTGTTTTCCGTGTGTCCGGATTTTTGTCTCCTGACCAGGAGGTCCAGATACACGTACCGACCCACCGACAGATCCTAGATCCCATCAGCACTGTCTGATGGAAGATGGCGCAAGCGAGGTAGACCTCCTTAGCGTGAGAGAAGAAGAAGAAGAAGAAGTAGTAGTAGTAGTAGTTGTTGTTGTTGTTGTTGTTGTGGTTGTTGTTGTTGTGGTGGTGGTGGTTGTTGTTGTTGTTGCTTTGTTGGCCCAGCTTGGGTCGATGTTGGCGTATCTTGGGGGCTATCTGGGCATCTTAGGAGCTATGCTAGCCCATCTTGTCGCTGTGTTGGGGCTACGTTGGCCCATCTTGGGGGCTACGCAGGCCCATCTTGGCGCTATCTTGGCCCATCTTGGGGCCATGTTGGCCCATCTTGGGGGCTATGTTGGCCCATGTTGGGGCTATGTGGCCCATGTTAGCCCAGCATCCGCCCACGATGCAGACGAAGCACCCCGGCGGGCACGCATTTCCAGCGTTATTTGGGCCTATGTTGGGCCATGTTGACCCATCTTGCGCCGCAAGAGCCGAAAAATGGGGGCAAGCCATAGCTTCGGCAGGTCCGCGCATGGTCGGCGGCGGGGGCTCCTACAGAGAGGAGAGATGGCCTACGGCAAGGACACGGCCTTGGGGCTTCCCGGGCCCCCCCCTTTTGTTGGACCGCGGGGAGAATCTGCCCAACCCTCGCGACCCCCGCCCGACCCGCGCCCGAATCCAGTCGACAGATGTAAAAAATGCTGCGCTTTTCAAGGGTGGTGTCGGTTACGCGCGCCGCGCGGACAGGCTTAATCGACATTTCGTGGGCGTCGGGCGCGCTCCAACATCAATGGCGGAAAATGTCCTCCGAGATGACCTGATAGAGGCCCCCAAGATGACCCAACATAGGTCCCAGATATGGGAAACATAGCCCCAAGATGGGCCGAGATTGTCTCAAGATGTGGCCATATAGGCCCCACACAGCCTCAAAAGCAGAGAGAGAGAGAGAGAAGAGAGAGAAGAGAGAGAAGAGAGAGAAGAGAGAGAAG